ATATTCAAAAACTACTAATGTATTTTAATCACTAGTACTTTGCTATAACCTGCTAGACAAATTTGTCAGACCTGTCAGCCTTCAGGGGAACCTTTCCTTTCAGACTTTTTGGACCCTTTGGACCACTGTTCCAGGTGCTCCACTCTGTTACCTCACCAACCTCCATGGCCTGCCTTGCCTACACTATCACCAACACCCTCCTGATCGGTCATCTTGGGACAAATACCATGCAGGCCTTCTGCTTAAAGCAATGAGGTAATCAGGTACCCTTGGCCTCTCCTACTCCTGCTTGTCCCTGTCCTTGGCTACAGAGGGGACAACCATATATCCCTTACAGGCCAGGCACTACTTCTAGCCTCCTAGCACTCCTCCCTGATGTCATGAGTTGGGCTTGATGATGGCTTGAGTCGCTTGACACATTGTTCTCAGTTATGTGCTTCCCACATGTGCATTCCTCCTACTGGGGCACCTGTTCCCTGTCATCATGTGCTGTGTGTTGTGGGTCCTTGGTGGCTCAACAAGAGACCAGGCCCTTTCAGTTTGATTTGACCCTGCTCACTTCACTTGCAGGCCCAACAATTCATCTGTTCTGTTCCAGGTACATGTTTCTCAGGAGGAGCCTTGCACCGCCCGGTCCAAAGCCTGACATGCATGTTAGATGTGCTATATGGTCAGCTACCTAACAGGCAGATCCTAAAAGCTTCTTCTCTTTAGATTCTCCCCCTGCTAGGTCAGCTCTGTTTGTATTCGCTTACCAATGTTTGCCATTTGGATTTTCCCCTGCAGGGACCTTTGGTCTTAGGCCTCTAGGGTTGGCCTTATATAATATAATAGCATATTATATATTGCCGTTTACAAATACACTATAATTAGAACTAATAGTGTTTTTAAAAGCATTTTTGCAAACCAGATCAACTTATAGCACCTCAGTAGATGTGTTGTATTCATTATAGTAGAGCTGATGGCTTGATGTTTTATTACTGCTTTCTTCTTTAGTTTTCTATTTCTCAGTGCAACAGCTGTTACAGCTCTTAGGTAATGGGAATGGCTGCTCTTATAAATATATAGCAAACAGTAATTATTTTAAAAAGCAATTTCCTTTTTTAAAAAAAAACAAGTGTTTGATAGTAAAAGCAAAATTTTATAGCTAGTACAAAAAAATCATGGCTAATAGACAAGAATCAAGTTGAGACTATATTTGTATCTTGTACACTATTATGATCCCCAGTTTTCTAATCAGTAAGTTGATATGCTGCTGCTGCTGTAGTTTTGCTGATATTATGGGTCTGACTTGTGGCTGGACCAATTGAGAATTCCCTACTTTGTTCATATCCTCCAGCAATGTCAATAGAGGCATTAGTCTTTATCAATGATGAGGTTGACTGGGACCATGCATGTCCTTGCAACACACGGAATATGATTAGAAGTGGTGCAATTCCCTGAATCTGGCCTAAACTGGGAAGAAGAATATCTTGAAGAGGAGAGCCACGCGCATAACTAATAATAAAGGCAATACTCCAGAGTGCATAGAGAGCAGCACTTTCAATTAGCATAGCAACAATTGAAACATATTCTTTTGTATGCTCTTCAGGCGTATACGGGGTTTTTTTTAAAAAGATCCCTTGTAATTAGAATATTAACATTTTTAAAAAACATCAGTGATTTACAAGTCTTCCCCTCATTTTAATAAAATCCACGCTGTCAAACTCTGTATCTTTCTTGGCACCTTGGCATCAACAATTTTTTTCATCTTTTTTAGCCTTTCCCCTACTCAGTATTTTCCCCATACTTAAGGAATTTTCCACACGTCAGGTCTGGGGCCTTATAGCTACCACACTGCCCACCCTGACAAGGCTTTTCAACCTTTTAAACCTTTTTTTGATCTCTCATTTCCCTATGTAAAACCCGCCTTTTGGCAGGGGCATAAATTAGAGGCATTTTTTAAAAACATTAACACTGGTAATGAGAAGGCTTTTTTAAAAAAAACCCCGTGTACAGGTGTGCTCTTCCTGTAAGACAGTTACAAACTGTCTCCGCATGATCCAGATTCGAGCAGAAATCAAGCTTGCAAGAAGAATGTTGAGACCAATTGAAAGAGACCAGTATGCAATTCCAAAGTTCACTGTATTGTTGATAAGGAACTTGTTAGTTTCAGCAGAGAAAGGTGCAAAAAGTGCTATGGTCAATGTCAGGGATGAGGCTAAAGAATTTAGGTATTAGTTAAATGTCAAAAAGAGCAAATTCCAATAAACATACCTATTGATCCAAGTAGCATTAAGCCAGGAAAGATGGCAAGCCAATATCTGCTGCCATAAATAATGAAAAATCGCCAAAGCTACCATACTAATGTCAACTGATTATACTAAATTTTCCTCAAATTTCATACCACCAAGCCATCAGCTAGCCAGCTTGAAATGATTGCACTAGAATGGAGTAGTCAGTGCTATCATATGTAGTCATTATTGTTATTCATGATGACATACCTGACGAAGCCCATAGTATATTATTCACAGGATTGGCATAAAATGCCATTGTGACAGCATTTGGCCCACCAGGGTAGCCACGTAGATCAATGAATGTCAATTCATTAAATCGGGCATTGGCAGCAAAACCAAGTGTGCATAAGAGGAACATTACTGCCACATAAAGCATTTGGCCCCATGGGATGCTGGATTTTGCACGTTGCAGAAGCAGAGTTGTAGTTTGGACAGTAATACTGAATAAGATTCCTATCATATTAGGAATAATCAACAACTACAGTTGCATGATTGTTTAACCGGCACACTCACCATATCCAACTCCAGCAAGGACCACACCATCAAGATTGGACCGCTCTACCCAAAGGGCATATGAGTTTTCTCCTGCAGGGGTGAATGAGGGGGATTGTGAGCTATTGGACAGTGACATGGTAGCGCAGGCGAACAACTTGAAAGTTATGCTCCCAAGAAGTATTTATGCCAGTGCCTATCTGACCCGCGAGGACTCTGTGAAAAAATCTATTTTCTAGATGTAAGAAGCAAGATAAGGACCATCTTCTTGATCACACACTGGCAGATGCTCAAAATAAAGGCGACCCGCATTTTTAAGAACCAAATATCCCACAGTCCCCAACTTCCATCATGTATACGGGTGATATAGAATTTATTGTTGCGAGATCCAGTGAACCGACAAGTTATTATGGGACAGCCAGACCTTACTCTATCGAGAGTGTAGTATGTAGGGTGTTGAACCAAACATGGGTAGGGTGGCAATCACGGTGATAATCAAAAGAGGAAAAAGTACTATAAAACTGTTGCTCAACTTGAAATGCCAAGTCCCATATCCGAGTCTGAAGGTGGCTAGCATGAAAGCCCTTGCAGCGTCTTCCCTCTTGGCACTCACGGGCTTATGGATGGCTCTCGCACTTCCTATGGTATATCCACCCGACACTAAAGCCGGTACTGCGTTTCTTGCGAGAGGCTGTACATTAGTTTTCCTCTGACTCTCCAAAACTAACCGCACTTTCAGGTCCTGATCAGAACAACTCAAATATCGACATCCCTACTCACATGAATATTAACCAAGAACGTTGCTCAACATTCAAGAGGGACGAGGTTGTGTAGGTGCTTCATTCTGGATCCAAAAATTCAGCGATTGACGTTCTGGTTTGAAGGTAATATTACATGTACACTTAAGACATACCGGTAGATGTTCGTTGGTCAACAAGAGTATACACGTTTCCTGCCAGCGTAGTAAGAATAATTGAACTCTAAGAAGGAAAAATATTGTGCTTGACTTCAGAGAGGTCTCAAAATCATCGACAGACAGTTCGATTATGTGTGCACCGACGTCCTCGAGGTTCGCATCGGCAGTGATATGGAGTTGGCGAAAAATCCCATTCCCTCGGACGGACGGTCGCCAAGATTCCGGAGCCTAGTTCGCGACAGTTGTGGAGAGCTACTCTATAATTGAACAGCCTTCGACTGAACAACAAGCGCAGACAGCGATATAGGGACTCGGAGGCATGGTTGAGTTGAGCATCCGTCAGGTCGGTTGCAGTCTGTTTCAATTTTGAGACGGTACGGGTATCGAGAGAACCGGTATGCACTTTTTTCTGTGAGCATATCACTATTTGCGGCATGAGAAGTTGGTCTCGAGTCTCGACAATGGCAAGTTCGTGAGTAGATCTGGATATAAGTATACTTAACGTCCGTGTGCTAGTAAGGAATTTGTCTGATACTTACGGCCAGTGGAGTGTGTACCTTGACGCAAGAGCTCGAGTGCGCCATGCGTTGAGCCCCTGGATAGTGGATTTCTGTGTCTCCCAGGTCAGTCATAGCAGGGAAAAGATACAGAGCGCAAACATTTCCCGGCGTGTCACTCTTGGTGGTGGAGCAACTAGAATTGTGAAATTATACTAGTATGCCACTGGGTTTCCGCATCGATGCGTGCAGGTCACAGACAACGCAACCGAACCAGAATTCGGAGCAGCCTCATGTGAGCCTATACACCTCCGCATCGTACAACAACCGCCGAATAGGCATCGAAAAGAGTCGACACAGTTAACAGACTGGCGGGGAGAGCTGGGAGATGTGTCGGTTGTCCTGCGATATCAGCACTAGCGTCCAAAGGGCTAGTGGGACGAACCTGATGAGATGTTGAGCAAGCCAGTGCGACAACACGGGAAAGAAGTTGTCGCACCAATTTCAAAGTGCGGCATAGATTCGGAGGATAAGTATTATCGGTGAAGTGTGGAAAGGTGAACCCGGAGTGGGAATCTGAGATGCACCCGGCATTATGATGAGGACAGAATGCCATTGTTGGTCGCAAGGCAACTGTTGTGTGGCGAAATTGAACAAGTCAAAACTTTGGGACATGGCGGTTGACTCGTAAGTTTTCTCAAGTTGTTTTCAAGTTGTGACTGTGACACAGGAAACTCAAGAATGCAAGGTGCTTGACCGACATTACACATTAATTGTCCCCAAAAACATGTACAGTACTTGTGATATCAATGCAATATTTCAATCAAGACCCGCTTTCAACAGATTCGCTACTTTCGTCCATTGGCGCTGAAACAACCTTCCTTCCATCCCATGCACGTCAAGCGGCCCGTTCATCTGTTCGAACAGGTCCCATTCTGACTCACTCGGGAGAGAGAGCTCTGTTGCGGGGAAGATGCTGCGGAGAAAGGCGGCTACTGGCTCAGGCTGTCTGATGGGCGAGATGCCGACAGCCAGCACACGCAGTGCTTTTTGCGACTGGAGCGAAAGTTCGTCCTTGGCCGGAAGATATGTGGCATCCAAGTCGAGCTCGAGGTGGACGAGATTAAGCGAGTGGTGGACAAACGCTTGAAGGGCTGACAGTCGTAGAGCAGGGTTAGAGATTCTGGCGCGGGAGGCGGAGACGAGCACAAGATGGGTGAGATTGGGCCAGGCACGGGCCATGTCCCATGCGAGTTGGCAGTCGAGGTTGAACCCGGCTGAAGGTTGGAGGGCAAGTTCCTCGAGGCCCGAAAACTGAAGAAGTGGTCTAATGGCGGAAGCTTGGACGACGAAATTGTCGAGGAGGTTGGCGTCGACTGCGTAAGGCATGATAACGTCTGTCAGCTCAACGCTTGTGCCAAGGACGAGTGTACGGAGTGTTGCGGGATTGATGTGTGATGCGACGGCGGAATAGAGCGCTGCTGCTTCCTCTTTCGTCGACGGAGAAGTTTCGAGATTGAGTCCCTCAATGGGAGACGATGGGAGGAGCAAGTTAACTATCTTTGAAGCGTATTCAAGAGTAGTGTCGTGGACGCTGAGGTGTTCGAGAGCGGGGAAGAGAGCTTGGGCAAGTTCAGCCAATGCATCATCCTCCATTGTCGTGCGAAAGCGAAGCGCCGTGAGATGAGGTAAACGCGCAAGATGTACAAAGGCCTCGCTTGAGATGCAATCAAGCTCGAGAATTTGAATCCTTTGTAACATCTTGGCAATCGTAGACATTGCTGACGAAACGAAAGCAGGCGCTTCATCTGGGTCGGACACGAGAGACATTCCAATCACTCGCTCCCAGTTCATCGCAGAGTCCATAGTTGCTGGTAGACTCGGTACTTGGACGTCTCCAAGGTGAAGGTGACGGACAGTTGGCAAAAGGAATACATCTTCGTATGGGTGGATCGTGGCGCAAAAACGGACATCCTTCAAGTTTGGGAGTAATTTTGAGGGGCCAATAACCCGAATGGCTTCTAAAACGGTCGAGCACGGCATACGATGGCTTTCCTCCACCACGAGTACTCGGATTCGGCGACTGTATGTTAATGCCACTGTCCAGTCTGAGGGTTTCGCCTCCGTTGACAGGTGCTATAGCTGGTTCAGGTCAGGTTTTTAATACAAGCAGCCACTCACCACATGACAACCAAAAGTGTCCTGTGCTGCTCTCATCTCCCACAATTCCGGTGGCAAACATTGTACGATGTTGTCTAAGGTGTTCTGGGTCCTCCAAAGATGGTCAAGAGAAAGTTCCTTGAATGCTTTGCAAGTTCTCGCAACGGAGTAAAGGTCGCGAGGGCGGTCAATATGGTCGAGGACCAAATCGACGAGTTCGGTGATGCGAAGGACGGAATGCATATTGAAGTGACCATGAGCTTCTTGACCCGCATTTTTATAAGCATGGGTTGTCGTCCAAGCGCTGAACAAAGCGTCCGACGTCGAGGTCCAAGCAAAGGTCGAACGAAACTGATGATTGCCACTGGATCGTCGCATTTTCACGTGGCAATATAACACCTTTGTTGAGCACTCAAACTTTGAGTATTCATGCCCACTGCAGGAATGTGAACCACAATGAGGCCTGTGCAACTTTGAGTTCTTGTGCTTGCCGAAGACGAAATCATGTTGTGATGCATATGGCGGTGACAGTCACTCTTTCCCCTCTCTTCATGCCCGCATTGAGCCAATCCCCTCCCCCCCGCCGTCGCACTACACCTCGTCGAGCCTCTGTCAGCCCGTCGCGCGACACTGGTGTGAAAGGAATTACCCGAAAAGTCATCAGACATCTAGAAGGTCTCGGACATTTGGTTGAAGGCGACGTTGACGAAGAAATGGACGACGAATCTGAAGTCGCTGAGTCTCTCAAAGAGGATCGCAGAGCCGGAAAGCGTCCCGCACCCCCACAACCGAAGAAAATAGACTGGGAAATACCACGAAAGGTGTTCCATTCATCTATTGGTGTGTTTTTCCGCTTGCTTGATCAGTCCTGCGAATACTGACGATATTGAAGGCTTTTTGACGGGTGGGTTGTACCTGACACCAAGCATCTCTCCTCGAGATGTTGCGATTGGGCTGTGGGCGGCCCTTTCGTTCATCGGCTCGGCTGACGTCGTTCGGCTACGCAATGCCGACTTCGAACGACTCTACGAGAGGGTCCTTGGTTTCCTCATGCGTGAAAGCGAGCGTGTATGTCATCTTTTTCAGCTCTTGAACCCGTTAATCTGACTGACTTCTCTTTTTCCAAAGCATGGTACCAATGGCACCGTATGGTATATCCTAGGCGTTAACTTTGCGCTTACCTTCTACCCAATCGACGTTGCCACCGTCGCTATTCTTATGTGCGTCATTTCTCCTACTCACCCCCACCTCACACGACCATTTTCACTCCTCTTTACTCCTTACTTGGCATTAAGCCTCAAGGCAATGTCCCTTTACTTCTTTCGTCTCACTGGTGCTCTAACAAATCTACGTGCCCTACGTGCCCTGCTCTCAGAACTCCCTATTTTCGTCTTTCCTGCGGCCTTTATCTTTACTGATGACGTTTCCATATTTAGTCTATCGTGGGCCGACACCGCAGCCTCGACAATTGGGCGGATGTATGGTCCGCGAACCCCACCTCTCCCAACAAGCATGTCTCTGTCGTGGCTGCCCTCTTGGGTCTGGGTACCGCGTTTTCTGCTCGTGACTCCCCCGACGGTCCAAGCAAATGGCCACGTCAAGGGCAACCCAAAGCCTCCGCAACTCGCCAGACGATTGCGACTCCCTTTTGCTCCACGCAAAAGCACGGCTGGTTTTATTGCCGCGTGCATCACTGGCTCACTCGTGGCCCTGGTTTTCTGGGTCGGCATTGCTGGGTGGAACATTCGAGGTGTCGCTGAAATGCGGGCTGTCGCTGAAGGTCTTTTTCATCTGTATCTTCTTGTTGATCGACGTCCTGAATGACCTGTTAGGTGCACCAGGAGTAGCCACCAACTATCACTCGCAGTATTCGATTGCCGGACAGTACATCCGAAGCGCTTCAGGTGCATGGGTCCGTAACTGGGTACCAGAAGGTGTTATTGGAGGTGTCGCTGGAGCATACGACCCCACTGCCGGAGCCAAGACCACACCAGCACGCTTCGGTGTTGGCGGGTGGGCAGGACTCCTTGCCGTTACGCTTTTTGCAGGCATTGTCAGTGGCATTGCCGAGGCATTGGGTGAGTGCTTACTTTTCTGGGCTCTCCTGTTCTCAATCGGATAACAGACTTGGGCGGCCTGGACGACAACCTTACCCTTCCCATTATATCCGGCGGCGCGCTTATGGCCTTTTTCCGAGTCTGGGGATGGATGGTCGGCAGATAGACAACGCAAGTTCTTATTGACGTCGCCGGCCGATGCTTCTCTGCAACGCTAGAATGGAAAACTCAAGACGACGCATTTTACGAAGACACTACATCATCTTTCTTGCATATCTACCCTAATGAAAAACCTACCTACCATCTACCACCCTCCACGTAACCCCTGCCCCCGAATCCTTGCTATGTATCTACCCCTTCCTTCAACAGACTACTTCAAGACTTCGAATGCGCTTTACTTCTTACATTTTGTTGTGGATTACTTGGACGGGAGGAAGGGAAGGGAAAAGTATATAGCTTGGTATCTATAGGACAACGAGCGACGACGTTAATGAATTCTACTGCTCCTTTCCCCTTCCTGTGTGCTGATATCTTCTTGATTCTGTGTATTTTTCAAAAACTTCGAAAATCTGAGTAACGCCAACAGCGCTTACCAAAAAGCTTGTGATGCGAAAATGTTGCACGTGATGCCTTGCGCACGGACCACCTCGCTGTTCCCTTAAATAGGATGGACCCACATTCTGGTTTCTTCAGATACATACTCATCAGGATCTTTTTATAGAAACTGACCGAGTACTCGCATTTTTACAAATGCCGCATCCTTCACATCCACGCGATGACATCCGCGCCCGCTCGTTTTAACCGAGAACATGGCGCCTCTTCGTTGAGGCGTCTCGAGGACGTTCGGCCGCTGCTTTCTGGCTCGCGCAAGCGGGCTGGGGAGCGCGGTCGGCGAGCTGGGCGTTTGTCTGATGGATGTCTTGTCTTGTTTTGCTATACCTGTGTATTCTTCGTTGTAGTGTGCAATTGAACATGTGCAATATTATTGAACCAAGGCCTGTCTTAGACTAGTCTTAGACTTCATTACAAAGTAGCATTGAGCCAAATCAACCTCGAGCTCGTTCGACTTGCCTTTGGACGGGTTCAGCTTTGGTCATCTTTCTTAACAAAAGTGAAGTGGTTGAGAAACTGCCCACGATGAGTTGGTGTCAATGCAGTGAATCAACGGATGGGGAGGATGTGGTGGGTCGTGAGCGAGGTGCTTCGAGATTATTTGACGCTCAGTGTGCTGACAAACTTAAGCAGAGGAAATTCGGCTTACGCTTCGGACCTCGAGCCGAGAGATTGCGTCAGCGTGGGCGCTTGATGTCGCGAAGATCTTTAAATTTGTCCATCGGTCCTCCGCTACTTCGACCTGACTCGGGCCACGGGCGAAGGTGGGTCATCGAGCCTCCGACAGCCTACAAAAGGGAACTGGCAAGCTCGATCGAGTAGTCATGAAAGTTCTTGTTTTAGGGTGGGTACACCGTGGCCTATCAAACACAGCTAACACTCTTCTTGCAGGGCAACCGGATTCTTAGGACAGCCAATAAGTCAAGCACTGGTGCGCGCAGGCCACGAAGTCTATGGTCTGGCTCGTACTTCGGAAAAAGCAAAACAGCTTGCGAGAGATGAAGGTGCATTTCCCCCCCTCTTCCTACCGTCTCTTATCACCATTTAATGGGCTCTAGTGATACCTGTAATTGGCACCGTTGACTCTGACGCATATATGCACCTTATACCGACTCTCGACGTCGTTATATCGGCCATAAACGCGACGCCAGACATCCTCACAAACACATTCAACAACGTTTGCGGAGCAGCGAAAGCTACGCGTCTCCCTGGCGCTGCGAAGCTCGCGTACATCTACTCCTCTGGAACCTGGATCCACGGCGACGACCGAACGACGATCGTCAGCGACACAACACCCCTTACCAACCCAGTCAAGCTGCTCGCCAACTGGCTTCCTGGCCTTGAACAACAAATCGTGGCAAGCACCATCGTAAATGGCATCGTTCTACGTCCGTCGTTGGTCTACGGTCGTTCGGGCTCCAACTTTGCCCCGCTGTTCAAGGCGGCGTTGAAGGAGAAGAAGGTAGTGTGGCCAGGCAGACCCGGTGGGCGGTATGCCTTGGTCCACGTCGACGATGTCGCAGACGCCTATGTTAGAGCAGCAGAGCGGTCCTCCATCGCCGCCGGGAAGATATTCGACATCTCAAATGCGCAAACCGAAAGCGTGGATGAGCTCTTAAGGCGGCTCGTCGAAGTCAGCGGCGTGCCTGGACCATACGAATACAAGGAGCCAACGTCGCGTAAGCTTCATTCTTCTTCATATCCTCCCCTGAGTAACTTCGCAGTATTCGAGGAAGCGTTTTCCTCGACTGCGATCATTCGCCCTTACCTTGCCAAAGCATTGCTGGACTGGTCGCCGAGAAAGATCGGTCTCACAGACGGATTGGAGATCTATTACGCAGCGTGGCTAGCATCGAGTACCAAGTCTTCACTGTTGACTCAATAATAATTAGTCTAATACATTCCATGAACTTGAAAGAACTGGGCTTCTGCCTGTATGTTTGCGATGCAGATTCCTGTTGATAGGTCGGCATTCATTCACGAAATGAGAGACAACACACGAATAAGCGTACTCCGCTCTCCCTTGCTTTTGGAGAATGCGTCCAGCGCAGCGAGAATGCGTTGGACGTTTGCCGTGGTGCTCGCATTCGGCGTTTTGAGGTAGAATTCCGCGAAAACAGCAAGGAGCGGCTGTCGAGAGATCAAGCTCCTGCAACCATTATCTTTGTTAACTTACTGCTATGATTATGTCAGCTGAAGCGGTCTGCTCTGTTGTCATATGGGCGAGACACGCTAGCATGTGCTCGCCTGCTGCCCAGCATTTCGTGTTGGATGTCATCGAATGATTGCTATAGGGAGCATGCAATTGAAGGACGGCAGCATGGATAAAGAGATGAGACAGAGTCAGCGTTGGACCGCCGCGGTTGCCAACGGGAAGTAGAACCGTGTTGGTGAAGGCCTCAAGTTCGTCGGCAAATGCTCGCGAGTCGTCTTCAGGCGGCGGGTAGCCCGCAGTCGCCGTAAACGCGACGATGCGCTGAAGACAGATGGATGCCTGAGTCAGTATATGATCCATATTATTTGTCTGAAAATTGTTAGGAAGTGGTGCAATGGCTGATGCTGTACTGACTGGCTGATGTGTGCTGATGACGGGAATGGCATCAAAGGGAAGATGGGAAGGCGTGCCCGTAATAGCGACCCAATAGTGATTCAGGGTGACCACTGCCCAGAAGGCCTTGGACAACATGGTCAGCTCGTCCGTGCTTGTTGCTAGTGATGGCGTTCGGGATCCCATGTTGCGGAGGAACTGAGGCGGGACCGGACCAGCATACAACTGAGCATTGAGGTGGTGCAGACCGATGCCAAACGCCAACGAGGTGGCGATCCCACAGTGATGTCGTCCTTGCATGAAAATGGCGTGGTCGAGAAAGTAGAGTGAAAGCAGGATGTGCGTTTGGATCAGTTGAATCGACGTTTGATGGTTTGAGGCATGGTCGAGGGTAGTCGAGTCGCGTGCAGCATTGGATACCGCCAGTGCTAAAAGCCTTTCTTCCGGATATATGCTATCTGCGCCTAGGTATGTCGCCCAGAGTATGACGGTAATCGAGAGGCTGCGCAGAGTTTCGCTAGAATTATTGATCGACATTTCGGGAAGGTAGAAAAAGTGATCCTCGCGAAATTTGTCAAGGAAGCAGTGAATCCTATGAGAGTGGGTTCCGGTTGATCATCAGGTCACTGGGACTCACAAAGCCGAAGTTAGTTCGGGAGAATTTTCGCGATCAGTCAACTGGAGTATTTTGAATGAAGCATTGCAAGGCTAAACGCGAGTTACGCACGCGAGGGCTCGTAGATGCCATGGTGAAAACATGTTGCGGCTCCTGGAGAATGCCAACTCCAGCATCTGGAGTATGAATGAATAAGCGACGATTTCTAAGATGAGAACACACCTGAATATGGTGACGACAATACTACTGACGGGGCTTGATCCGGAATGGGGGTTACAGGGACCGTGTGTGTTGGAGCGTAGGAATATCTACATGGCTGTAGTGTTCGTGGTGGATGTAGGCGACATTTTTCACAGACGGGTCGTTCTCCACCACATTTCTAGTCGACTTCAGATTGGTACAGGGTAGAAGAGGCATCGTACAACTCGCCGGATTCTATGAGAGAATGGGTTCGCATAGGAAATGAAGTAGAGGCAGTTGGCTCACCTGCAATTTGTGCATGCTTTATGAAGATAGCCAGCCTTGGCTCTGGACGGTCCGGGGCTGTCTCTTTCCATTATCAGTGGCGAGTTGTCAAAACGCAGGAATGCGTTATATACCTTTCGAAACGAGGCACACCTCGCCGGAATCAAAACGAATGTCGGCTCGCAGTGTCGAGCGAAGCGATCTCACGCTGAGAGAGGCTATGCATGGCACATTTTCATCTTGGTCGGTCCGTCACTACCATTCGACATGGACGAAGGAATCAGAAGTTGACCGGCATTTCCAGATACGGTTGGAGTGACACGTGACACCGTCACACTTTCCTAAGGCGCAAGTGCTTCGGCTCCGGGCTCCGCAGGGGTACAAGACGGTCCTTCGACTGGACCGCCCTATGACATTCTCCGCAGCTTTTGTCCACTCTGCTCTTGAGCTCCATTGCGCAGCTGCTCAAAACGAAGGCCAAGGTGCCTTGTGCTCGTTATTTTCCGATTCCCGACTCCCGACAGAACCACGAGGCCACACACTCCTCACCTACTGCGCTGGCGCAGCAAGAAACGTCAAAATCGAGGGTTCAGTCATTGCATGAATCTCCTCCAACCGAATGTGTTAGCTGCTTGACTGACATCGGTACTTACTCCGCATCGTCTCTCCAACCACTGATGACTTCAGCATATCTCTCCAACCTTCAAACACTCGAAGCTATCCTGAGAATCGGCAGTGGCGCTTCCCGTGTCCGTCAGACGGCTGCCACTAGTCTCCGACTGGCTTCAAGATCATATCAAGGATAATCGGACTTGCCATAGGAAACACAGAAGAAGCCTGAGAGACGGGAGAAATGCATAGATATATGGTTTCGACTGAGTGTGCTCGCTATACTTGGGAATTTACAGCTTTCATGGCCAGCAGCGAACGAGCTGTGCTGGTGGTCGGCGCCGTTTTGGTACGTTAACAGCTTACAATTACTTTTAGATTCTGGCGTTCCAACTAACTTTCGTTCGACTTAGACGGCCTTGAATCAACGCCGGGGGTAGGGGGAGCTGTTAGGAGGAGCTCAAACTACTGGCAATTGGCTTGCGACTTCTCCATCTGCTGGCTGAAAGTCTGAAACTCGTTCATTCTACAGCACTAATAGCACTAGCAGTGGGTTCTCAACAGGAGGACAGCTTTTACTAAGATTGCATCTAGCAATTGTTGTTCTGTAATCCCAAGTGGTAGCCTGACCCACAAATCGTGATCTCCCAGTTCAAGTTTGTCTTCTGATTTGATATCATTAATTTGGTTACTAAAGCCCGTGTCCAATGTCATGTAGCTGGACCTTCACCTCCTGATTTGGCGTCTATCATCGATCATAATATAAAAGACACAAAAAATATAACGTTCCTGCTATAGTAGTAAGCTGCGACGACGAGATTCCTGGTGGAAGATAAGTACATAAAATTGAAGATGTGGCCTGAAATTTTGTTTACGGCAAGTTCCCAAGGGCTTCCGCGGAACAAAAGAACTGCGCCCACTTCCTTTTAAGTTGTCAGATTTTGGTTATATAGGCTGATCAGATGCGTATGATCGCGACTTTTACTTGTCTCCTTCTTCCCATCATGACACCAACTGAGCCACGTTCCGTACTCCTGCCCTCTCATGGAGAAATAACGCATCTACGCAGCCTCATCAGGGTTAACGCCTGCCCTCCAGATATCAACACCCTTCGGGCCAAAATTTCTGCCCTATCCACAGAAAAGAAAAAATATACGGACTCCATTGCTGCCACCGACGAACCCGAGCGTAACTCACTTCAAAACGACTTAACGGAGCTCGAAACTTACGCCGCACTCTGCGAAAGTGTGCTTGCGCCTATCCGTCGTCTCCCACCAGAGCTCTTGTCGCAGATATTCTCCTTCTGTCTTCCGGGGTTAACGAAAGACCTCAGCTCTAAAGACTACGCCGCGGAGATTCATCGGTTGACACGACGCGAGTTGCTGACCTTGGGGCAAGTTTGCTCCCACTGGAGAACTCTCGCTTTAGGCACCCCTTCGTTTTGGCGAACCATTGATCTCGACTTGATGTTCTGGTCGCACAAGATGCTTCCACTTGTCGAAGCTTCTCTGGAACGCAGCGCCAACTCTCCTATCCAGCTGCGACTTGGCGCTCCAGACAATATCGCCGTCGACACCATGTTACTGAAGCTGGTGGCTAAACACAGCGCGCGGTGGCAAGCAGTCCTCCTTTGCATGGACTTTTCGTTCTATACGGCGCTATCAGAAATACGTGGGAATCTTCCGAGGCTCGAGTACATTCATCTTGCTGGGTTGATCGACCAAGAAGGAACTGATGCCCGCCGAGCAATGGCAGCAGCAACCTCGGCCGTCTCTTTCATTGCGGATGCACCAGCCCTCCGTGACGTTGCCTATACGGGGCCGGTCAAAGCACTCAAACTTCTTCCTTGGTCGCAATTGGAGCGTTTCGAGTATTTTGACGTCCATCTCATGGAGCTCAACGAGGCCCTGTCTGTGCTCAAGTATTTCCCACCCGGCATACAGTTCGACATCCGACGGTTGTTCGTCCCGCATGTCCAGTCGCCTAGCGAGAACACGAGTTTTCCGATTACCCCGCAGTACAGCGAGAATTTGACGAGTCTCATCATTGAATTGCAGAGCTCGACTCGGTTGGGGATCGAAGAGGTGTTGGATCGCGTGACGCTGCCTGCGCTCACCCACCTTGAGGCCACATCAATCTACTACCCCGCCGCGCCGGGGCCTTTAATATGGAACAACGACAGCTTCCACCGCGCTGCAACACGTTCTGGCTGGGGTAGCACCCTGACTTCGCTCTATCTTTTCCACGTCCAGCTCCCTCCAGCCGATTTACTTGGCACCGTGAGCGGTCTTCCCCGACTCAGTGTCTTGGTTGTCGCAGACCATGCTCCCCACACTGTGCTTCTAAACGACGATGTGCTTCGTGCCTTCATCTGGGATCCCCAGACCAACCGACAGCTCCTGCCCAATCTGACCGTCTTCGGATCGCTCTCTCTGTTGCAATTCGATGCGCATATCCTGCTTGAATTCTTCCTTTCTCGAATCGCCAAAATGAGCAGTTCGCCCTCGCTTCCTCACCCAGCGGCAGTCGCAGCAGACGGACCCGAGTTCGAGTTATACATCCGCTGGCTTCCAGAAACAGAATCAGAACGGCTGAAAAGTTTCGATGAGAGTACGTTGACACAACTCCAGCTTCAGGGTACAGAAAGGAAGGGCGTCGTATGGTCCATGGAGCTGGCGAACGAGACAGAATTGAAAACCTTCTTTTATTAGATATTTGTAGGGCATTTTCGCGGGATCTGGATTGTTGCTTTTCACGAGGATTAATAGAGTGGTTCTTTGTATAGTGGGATCCTGTAGAGTCTCTGGATCTTTTGAGACCGTTCCACCCAGATTCGCGATCGAATTTTCCAATCGTATTATTCCCAGATCTCCTTATAGATGGACAGGTAACTCTTCACCAAGGTATATCACCGAACTTGGTTCCACTCCGATAGTGGCTCAACCTTCATTCTTATCTTAGTAGCCGTAAGAAAGGATTGGCAACTCACACAGATAAGGCGCACAAAGTCGTAACGCAAAGATGAACTATCTCCAACCAAACAGCATACGATTCAAAAGCCAAACACCTAAGTCGACTGGTAGTATATCGGCTGTGGCGGGCCCGGGTAATCTTGCGCTGTTGCAGGGGTGAGTGGAGACGGTGCCCCGACGCCGTTGTGGTGAATGAAACCCGCTCCAACCCGCGACGAGGGTGGTAACGCAAGATCAGGGTAAGATTTAGCGTCAGAATATCGCGGCCGCATGTTTTGTGGTGGCGGACGTGTGTAGGGAAGGGGATTTGGAGTCGTGGTCGACAAGGAAACCCGATAGGAATTTACTGGTGTGGACGCTGATGACGAGAGGAATTGTAGTGGCGGAGGAGGACTAGTGGGGCTGGGAAAAATCAGGCCCAACGCGTTGGTGGACAATGGGCCCTCTGGTGATGGTTCCCTCTCCGGTTCGAAATCGCAATACAGATGTTTTCGACGACATCGTTCGCAGCTAGGCGGTAAATATGTTGGCGTACACTAGAAGAAATCTTAAGCTAAGTTGCACAGCGATACGCCTAATTGGAGAGGACCTTTGATTTGCTGTCTCTGCAATTCAAGCACGGTTTGCGCGCGCGAGGCTTGAGCTCGGAGAATCCTGATGTTGGAGGAGGCATGTAGCATGGCAAGAAGGTTTCTCCTCCTTTATAGCCTTTAACCAGTCATCTTGCCATCGACACGGACGTCGGGGTCCGCAGTCGTGGCTGTAAGATCGACCTTTGACTCACTCGGGAACGGGCACTCCGGCACACAGTCAGAGTTCGGAGAGAAATTGAATGCTTGCGCCTAAGAGAAGAGTGCAACAATAATGCTACACCGCTCCCTTGCCATGCGGCATCGTGTTCATCGACGTCGGTGCAATCCGAAAACCGAGTAATCACACAGTCACGGTGTCACAATCAGTCGTCGGATCAAGAGGTGATGCGATCTGAATCCTCATGTCTCCTTCCAAATCCATTGTCCAAGCCTACGGCCATACGGTACCGAACGGAGGGCTTTCAACCTGGCTCTGAGAAAGACTAGGGAAGAACCACATCGTCTTTGACATGACCTGCCATCTTGAATGAATGGCAACATGTGTCGTTTGACCACCTGTTGTCAACTTGGCGCTGCCGTCAACTTGCTCAACCGGCTTGTCTTGGAGTGTCTCTGTGACAACAGCCAACAAGGGAGGCACATGACGCGCGCACAAGCACGTTGAACCATATGCACATCAGATTGGCGGCGACGATAATATACATAGACGATGAGGAGATGCGTTGTCCCTCTTCATTCTCCCTCCGAGTCTCCCCTCCCCGGGCCCGTCCAGAATGTTCTCACTCTCTTTTGTCGCCCTTCTTTCGTTCGGTCTGGCTGCTTCAGCCACGCCAGTTACCCCGGAGACCCAACCCGAAATTCGTTCGGAACTGGCCGCCCGCGCAGATGACTCTTACCGCTCTATTGCGACAGCCAACAATCCTGACTGGATGGCCGGACACTCAGACTCCACTTCGCTTGCGCGTCTATCCATTCCTGGCACGCATGAGTCTATGGCCATCGTTGGGGGCGATATTACCGAGTGCCAAGGTGAGATCCGGCCAAATAGCTTGCTCTGAATCTGACTAAATATTTCAACGCAGAGAACTACGGTGACTCTGGCAACACCCTTACCGCCCAACTGAATGCTGGTATCCGTGCCTTCGACATCCGTCTTCGTGTCGAGACCCGCAACACCTTCACCATCCACCACGGTGCAAAATACCAGAACGCCAACTTTGACAACGTTATTGACAAATTCGCGGAGTTCCTCATTGCCCACCCCAGCGAGACCATCATCATGCGTGCCAAGCAGGAGTGCACTGGTCAAATTGGCTCCTGCACGGACCTTGGTGGCCAGGCCCCCTTCACCGATATCTTCGACATGTACATGAACAACAGCCCCATGGCAAGGCGTGTTTTCTGGGGCCCCAGCATCAATCGCAACTCTGCGGCCGGTGTACCTAACCTCGGCGATGTCCGCGGTAAAGTCGTCCTTTTGGTTCTGCACAACGCAAATGGCGCGCGCACCAATCAGTACGGTCTGGCGCAATTCTCTGGCTGGAACGATGGCAACTCGCAGTTCGTTCAGGACAACTACAATGGGTAAGTTTTCGCTTATGCACCGCAAGTCCAAGCTTATAACTGTTTCCAGTACTCCGCTCTCCTTCAATTTTGAAACCACAACTAACGCGTTCATAGTCCCCAACGTCAACGCCATCGCCACCAAGCGTGATCAAGTGCGTGTTGTTCCTTGCTTGTTTGACTAAACTCATTATTACGCAGTTCCGCCGCTTCCTTGATTCGTACAACACCGGAAGCGCAGACTTCAACTCGCTCTTCATCAACTTTTCATCCGGTTCTTCCCTCTTCGCCCTTCCCTACCAGGTCGCAGCTGGCGCATGGGGAGTCCAGGGTCTCAACGACTTCATCCTTGGCTACCTCAGGCAAGGCCCCGAAGTCCACCAACCTGTTCGTCGTGTAGGCGTTGCCTTGATGGACTTCCCTGGAGGCGTGTTAATCAACAAGATTTTGGAGTTCAACAACGGGCTTTGAAGATGTTCTTTTGAGGGTTGTCCGGGTGCAAAAGCGTGTATTACCATAGTCCCAATAAAATCGCAATACCCTGTGATCGCTTGAGCCAAATAAGGAGGAATAATGGTTGTAGATAGGCCTCTACTTTATATCTACATGTCGCGAGTGCTCATAATCCTCAACAGCAATAATGGAATACCTGGAGGCGGGCCTCCCATAGAGTCCCATGTGTTGGCTACACTGCTTCCCCGCACTTTTTCCTCCGCAATCTGCTCTAGATGAAACACAACAAAGCAAACTCAAGCTAGTCACCGACCTCAATCCGAGTTGTCAATATCTCTACTTCTCGTCTGCACTGGCCGAGCCACCACCGGGTACCATTAACCATTGCTCTGAGACTCCGGCGTCGAGAAAGGGACGCAGAGAGGGCTACCTGCCGTAGCTCCCCTGACCTCAACCGCAACCTGGTCGATCTTTCATTCGCACAATCAGAGCATCAAGAGAAGTAAGGCTCCAACCAAATACAATACAATACTCAATATATTGAGTTATAACCCAATACAATCCATATATATATACAGGGTGGCAAAATTTTTGTAGTATAGAGTATATACTGTATAGATACTCTATACGATTGAGTTTTCTCAGAGGCCTATATAGGCAGTATCTGTAGGTTATACAAGGTGTTATCAAGTCAACTTCTTTCAGATAAGGTATTTTCTGAGTCTTTGTTACTATACTTCTTGGGACTATATCTGATATCTGACTAAAAGTTCAGATGCTACTTTAACCACAGCTTCCAACTGACCCACAAACTGACCCATCTAAACAACCTTATTATTATAATAAATTTTCAGTTACATTTCTGTCAATAGAAATTTGTAGTACAACTCAAGTACAATATCTCATATATCAATCATAAGTCTAGGTTAAACTTCAAAATTTCCATATAAGGAAATTTTATCACAATCAAAAGACTGTAAGTATCATGATAAGAAGAGAGTTTTATAGTTAACTATCAACACAACATTTATCTTATTACCCAGTTTCATCTTGATCTGATATCTGTGCTGTTTTACTATTATATTTGACTATTAAAAGCCTTGGTTAACCTCAATGTCATCTTTTTTGCAGCTCTAAGACTTTCAGGACCTGTAACTAAGATGTTATTAGCATATGGCAGAACTATACTAGATAGTTAATAACTATCATGATTGTGATATATAAAATAATATGTCAAAACAATATATTATCTACTATATACTCAATATATTGGGTTATAACTCAATACTATCCATATCCCAATACAATACAGCCTTGGAGTGTATATGGATAGTAATTAGTTGGAGCCTTAAAGAGAAGACACATACACCGAAAGCTCCTGACCCAATTCTCTCCGCTCCTCCTCCCCGATGCCAGCCTCGACTGCACTCCACCAAGCTAATTCAGCCTTGCACATCGCCTGATGCAATTTCTGGCTGGCTCTTTGGGGGGATAGAATACGCAGCATGATAATGAGCGCAACCACAAGAACAACTATACTGACAATAGCAACTTTGTCTGGAATAGGCATTAGCTGTACGAGAGATGCTACGATGTTGGGCGCATCAGAGGCAGCGATGACCGAGTCCGGGACCTTCGGAGTGGATTTGCTAGAGCTGACGAGTGCAGAGGCTGGTTTGATTGTTGGTGAAGCCTTCTGTGTTTCGAGATGAACGCCGGCAAAAAATGTTGGATTTGTATTGATAAAAGGGTGGAAAATGCCAATAGCAAGGCAGCTCAGCAGGAATGCAGCGATGTACAGTTTTTCTTTGAGTTGTCGCCTTCGAATGCCAACACAAATTACACAATTAGATGGAAATTCGAGATGTAGATGTGCAGAAAGACATTCACCGCAAGAATGGCGGGATGCTGGACGGCTTTTCTAAGCCTGATAGTTCCAGAGTCGCATGGTTCATCGGGAGGGTGGTGTCGACTTGACAAACCTGAAGAACGTGCACTTTATATGTGAGGTTAGAAACTGATCGATACCACTGGCTAGACTCGATACGAACAAGTTATTCATAGTTTAACAGCAGTTCAGCACTTGTATGCCATCCAATCATCGGCCTTACCCTCGATAGATGAGATGTTGCCCGGACAGAACAACTTCCGGCTTGTTCCGTCTGCCACTATGTTTATTTTGGGATTGTGTGGAGGCACACGAAGCGAGGAGCAATCTTGATCACTTGAGGGAAATGGACAGATGTGTCCATAGATACAGTTAAAGCGGCGATAGTAGCCAATAGTCATTTCACCCAAGACCCGATACAGGCGCTACACTTACAGAACTTTATACTTCTTCAAGTTTCCTCCATCTCATTCCTGGAAAGTCACCGTCTTGAGGCGCAGGAACTCGTCAAAGCCCCACTCTCCATTGAATCGTCCCCAGCCGCTGTTCTTCACGCCACCGTGCGGAAGTGCAGCTTCGTCATGGACACTCATAGAGTTGATGTGAACGTTTCTTGACCGAGCGAGTCAAACAACGCTCCCAAGAGATTTTCAGGCACTTACCCGCACTCCAATTTCTTCGCAACACGCAAGCCCCTGGCCAGATCTCGTGTAAATATCGCTGAATTGAGGCCGTAATCACAGTCATTGGCGACCGAGATGGCTTCCTCTTCACTTTCGACAGCGATAAGACTGACACTAGGTCCAAAACTCTCCGTTCCATAGAGGTCCATCTCCTTCGTCACGCCCTCGACAATGATGGGACGAAGACGTGTCGATGAAGGTTCTCCTGTTTCCGGATGATTTTCCTCGGTAGTGTAATCTCCATGTAAGAGTTTGGCCCCTTTACAAATTGCATCTGCGACCAACGCTCGGTTCTTGGCCACCGTACCGCCCTGTGCGAGAACTGGGGAAAGGGCGTTTTCGGGCGAGAAGCCGCTAACGGCTTTCTGTAGAGCCGGTCGGAACGCATTGATGACAGCTTTGTGGACGATGATTCGTTCGGTACTCATGCAAATTTGACCCGCATGAAGGAAAGCGCCAACCACGCATTGCATAGCGGCACGTTCAAGGTCGGCGTCATCCAGTACGATAGCGGCAGCTTTACCACCCAGTTCCATTAGGCATGGCTTCAGAGCTCGACCAGCAGTAGCGGCAATGATGCTTCCGACCGCAGTACTACCGGTAAAGTTGACTTTGCGAATAGCTGGCGCCTCGATCAGTTGGGTGGTAATGGCTGGAGACTCTTCGCGAGTGGTATAAAGGACATTGAGGACACCTGCTGGGAGACCGGCCTCAGCGAAGATCCGGCCGAGGTGGTGGAAACAACGAGGGCTGAGCTCTGACCCCTTCAAGACCACAGTGTTGCCTGTGGCAATTGGGAAGATGATTGAGCGTGCGCCAAGAATATACGGCGCGTTCCTGGTGGAGAAGATTGGCTGGGGTCAGCGCAAAAGTGGGCAGACATACCAAGGAGCGATACTTAGCACAACCCCATACGGCTCTTTCAACACCAATGCACTCGTACCATCCACTTGACAGATGGGAATAGAGCCCGCAATCCCGCTAATCCTCCCAGCCGTGTCTCGTATGTGCTCGGCGGTGGTGAAGATATTGAAATTGGCGAAGGTCTCGTCTGAACCCGTCTCTTGCATTATCGACTCCTTCAACGCTGGCGCTTGTTGTTCGATAAGGTCAGCGGCCTTGAGAAGGATGTTGCGTCGCTGGATAGGCTTGCTCTTGCTCCATTCTTGGAATGCAGTGGTTGCGGCTGCGATGGCGAGTTCTGTGTCATCTGAAGACGCTGAAGAGCAGGAATAGAGGCTCTTGTGGGTGAGCGGGGAGACAACAGGAAAGGTCGAAGAGCTGACGCGCTCTTCTCCCTTGATAAGGAGAGGCACTGTCGTCATTGGGAGAAAAGCGGAAAGGCATCACTGAATCAGCTCAATGATTTGCCGACCAGCGGCGAGTGCAAACTTCCTCCGTTTATAGCGTTATGAGGCAAGTTAAGAGTTCAAGGAGAACTAACAAAGACGACCCTACCATAATAAAAGAAGAAGAAAGAAGCATCAAAAGTAACGACAAGGACTTAGAATTTGTGCAAGGACGGTGAACCCTACTTCCGTTTTCCCAATGGTTTTGCCCATTCATGTACAGGTAATACTATACAGCGGCCCAAAGCTTTCGACTCCTTAGGACCCTCGCAGCACAAAAGAATACCGACCCGACGACCGCAAACACACCCGAGTACAATATCAGATGTCTGAAATTGTGCACTGTCGTGGTTCGAATGAAGACACCGCCAATTGGGGTTCCCGCAATTGCAGCGGTCGACATGAAGCCAAACGACATGCCGATTCGCGCGCCGACCTCATGGATAGGAGATATTGACACAATGCAGGGCTGAGAAGGGCTCAGAAAAGAAGAGAAAATCATCAACTACCCACAGAGAACAGAGCAAAAAATGGCCCAGAGAAGAACCCGTAAAGCGCAGAAAATGCGATGAGGCTGGGCTGCTCGGTAGCGGTGTACCACATCGCGAGGATAAGCACGCCCGAGATCAGTGTGGTCGCTGCCATGACGTTGTACCTTGTGAATCGGTTAGTTGACTAATTCACAAGTGTAGGATAGAATGCACACCTTCCAACTCGGTCGGCTATGAAGCCTGGCAAAATCCGTCCCACAATGGCGGTAGCACACAGTATGGCGAGGTAGTAGGGGGTCAATTTGGAGGGGCCGCCGCTTGCTACCTCACCATACAACCCGACATAAAAGAACGGGTTAAATATTGACATCACGCTAAACCAGCCACCAAGACACAGGCAGAGATAGGTCGGGTCTCGGAAAGCATGAAAGGCGAGGAGTTGACTGAGTTTTGGTAGCGGTTTTGGTGGGCGCGGCGTTGTTATCGTGAGCGAACCGACGATGAAGCAAAACAGGACGATGAAGGCAAGGATGCGGATTGTCCAGCCAAACCCGATCTTGGGAATGAGATGGTCGAGCATTATGGGGTAAACGATTCCGCCCAAGCTTGCTGCGGCAATAGGAAAGCCGAGGGCAAAAGCAAGCTTGCGTTTGAACCAATGTGCACAGACGGCAATTGAAGGGAAGAAGCTATAAAAGTGACCTTGAGGTACGCAAACAAAACGGTTTCGGTAAACGTACGCAAAAGTTGCCCCCAAACTGAAAAGAACTGCTTGTGTCAGGTATTGCTGATATATCCTTTGTGGTTGGGAGATCGACAGCATGAACATTGCAAAGGATGACACGAGCCCGCTTATAGGTATCATGAGTCGCGGTCCTAACGCGTCGAAAAGGGCGCCAGAGACACTGGCGACTAACAAGTTACATTCAGTGAAACGTTGCCGGAGATGGAAATGCCCATACAAACATATAACATGAACACCTGAATGGCGCCAATCATCGACACGAGGGTGGGGGAGTAGTTAGATAGGTATGTTGTCTGATAATAGTCGTTGAAGGCACCATATCCATTGACGGTGCTGCATGACTGAAGATGAGAGGTGGCCGAAAAAAAGGAGGGAAAGCGCACCCAAATGTCGCTATGGACACGCAGCTAACACCCAAAATCGTCAGCCAGGCTTTGACGCCGCCGTCTGGTGGGTCCACATTTATCGGTGGCTTCATTTGACCAGCTTCAGTGTCGGTATCTAGCGTTTTCTCGACAGCAGTGGTCGTGGGAGATGGCGCGTGCTCATGGGCGGACGACATTGGAGGAAGGTGATAGTCAGTAGACAAACGCTAATCCTCTTTTTACATGGAAGCACTCGGAAACCATTCGGAGCGCGATGTCGGACGTGAGCACGTCTACTCTCCATGAGTAAGTGGCTGATCGAAGTGATTGGTCAGCCATCCTCGCTTAGTATTGCTTTTTGACCGTTTAACCTTGAACCTTGGTTTGAAACCAGCTCGGTGTTTTTGCGGTTCTCCGCTCGTGTTGAGTTCATCATTGAAGACCGTGAACGTGTAGCTTTGCATTTCTATCGCGTGCCGTGTGACTTTGGCGGTCACATTTGGTGTTGTTGACCACAGTTGACCCCTCCTCAAGCCTTGTCCACAGAAAGCGTAAAGAAGTCTCGAACACATGGAAAGTTGTTATTTTGGTCGTCACACTCACCCCCTCTCAGACCAAATTCACAGTCTGACTGCGGGAGACAAATGGAAAGTGCAATGTGGCGGTTTTCTCATTACCGACTTCATCTCTCACTGGCAAAAGGAATCTCCGAGTCAGAGGCGTTTCATTTTTGAACCTGTTCAGCTTCAAGCCTTTCAGCGCCTCAACAATCTACAAGCTCGAGTCATGGTCACCAACAACTATATATAAACTCCCAGACAATGCCATTATCTTGTTCTGCATGGAATTTCGTAGAACCACTCAATCCCAGTCTGAATCCGACCCTTGATGGACTGAGCTTATTTTATATAGTGCTTTATGCAGAGAACGGGACCCACACCCTGCTTTCTTCTCGCCCTTATAATGCCTGCAAGCTTATTTTGCTTCTTGAATCCCTAAACGACACTGACATTGGGCCAGAGGATGATGCAGGCGACCAAGCCCACACAGTCTGGAAAACGAGCAACATCATCGCCGTCTGGTACCCGGTCTTCGACATCGCGCTCTGCGAGGGCTGCTCCAAATAGGGCTCATGTGGCGGTTCATTATTTACCTGTCCGCATCGAGACAAACTTACCATGGGACTAGCGCACAGAGGCCAACAGACTCGACCCTCTTCAACCTGCTGTTTCGCTCGTTGCTGGTCCAATTACTCGAAAGCGTAGAAGAGTACAGCCATTCACTCTTCCATTTGCTTTCCATTCAATTGTTTCAGGACTCGGAAATCGCCCACAACCCACCTGAGACGAATATGTACACCGGTGGCAAGCTGGACATCTACGACATGTCTCTCACCTCCCTTCGCGATGCTCTCCGCCCCAAAACCTCAACACGGCTCAATTACCTCGCCTTCCTCCGCGCTATCTACACGAAACAAGAAACCAATCCTGAACCTGGCGAAATCGACATAACATTTCCACCATCCCGGTTCCATGGCCATGGGCGTATGACCTCCACTGTCGACGGCTTTTGTGATATAACCACGGGCCACAATCGTACTCCCTACCCTATTGTCCTCACCGCCACCCAGCACACAGAAGCGCTGACTTTTACTGCTAACGAACAAGCCTTCTTCTGGCCGTCGGTACCGAAGGACGGCGCAGGATTGTTTGGTGTGATGGAACTCGCCGAGAAGCCCTACGGAGCAAAGCGTGCTACGGGCATTTTCAAGATGACCACGACGCCGGTCTACTCAAATGGCATCGACACGATATATGCCGGTTTTGCGACATTCAAGGTCCAGCATGGAGCGGAGCTGGGAATGCAGGGCCTCGGCTCGGAGCGTGTTGGCACTTTCGCATTCTGGGCGCTACCTGCAAAAGAGGACAGTCTGCGAATTACGGCGCGCGCCCTTTGGGGACCAGAAGCGCCGTTGACCGTCATGCCTGTATTCGGCCAGCCAATGATAAAGCAAGACATCAGTCCCATTTTATTGTTGGAGAAAGCCAAGGAGATCGAAGAGTCCGGCGTGAATGTCGCAGGAGTACTAGAACAATGAATGCCAACTGAATGCCCAGGGAAATTTAGCACGCATAAATGGAATCAGTACCAAACTACGCAGCAAATGTTACAAATGGATTTCGTTCGAATATGGTATCATCTGCGGTCAATTTGAAGTAACTACTACAGTACAAGTGTTAACAGATTGAATTTGCAAGAAATTGCATCAATTGATAGATGATGTGAGATCATCTTGGTCAAGCCGCGAGCCTAACCAAGCGGTACTTAGGACAAGACTACTCTTTCTTCCTGACTACCACCATGCCACCCAAAGTATGTCAGGCCTCGGGACGCGTTTTTTTGCGTCTTATAGTCAACAGACAGCCAAGAAGACGACGACGACCAAAAGGAAGTCTTCCCAGTCGGATCGCGCCTCCAATATCGAGCACGACGCGTCAACGCCAACTGCGGCAACGTCGGGCCCAACCCAGCCAGCGAAGAAGAAGGCACGCGTCTCGGTATGAAGTTATCGCGAGCAACGCGTCGTCTGACTCTGGTCTTGTAGGATGCGACTGGTACCGGTGTCGTCGTTACAAAAGCTGCAGGTCAGGAGAAAGAGGCTACTGCCAATACAGGAGACAAGCGCAAACGCGTGCGTAACCGATACATCGTTTATCTCATCATCTGACGCGTCTCTCAGGCTGATTTTGTCTCTAATGCTTTCCCAGGTGGGAACTTTGACCTTTACGCTATGGCTTTGCCCTTCCTGCGTACTGCGCTCCAACCCCCTGGGGGCAAAAAGCTCGACTACCCCGCCTTGCGCCAACTCATCGCCGAAAAGCAATCCAAAAACGACAAGTCTGGTAAAGTCGCACTGGCCCTCCCGTCTGCAGGGAACGGCTATGGAAGGTTCTCTTCTAACGCGTCACGGTATTGCGACCCGATGGAGGAGATGCCATTCGACATTGGTCTAGCATCAGTTCGCAAAGTCGATAGTGTCACATTTTCAACGTCTGAGCGGGCGTTATTTTGGCCAGAGGCGCCTGCCTCTGGCCCAGGGCTCGAAGGGGGGCTAACTCTCTTGGAACAGAGCTGTGGAATCGACAGCCTCACAGGCTCGTTCAAGCTTTGCACTGTCCCAATATTCACGACTAGCAACCCAAAAGATGCGATGTATGCTGGTGTTCTCTCTTTCGACGTTCGATACGGGTCAATATACCGGCGCAAACAACATGGACCCGGTCAAAAAGACGCGTTCGGGTTCTGGGCGGTGCCTGCTCTGGACACTGACAGCAGAAAACTGAAGACGGATGGATTGGCCCATCTTGCAACCAAGACTGTCAGTTTTACTGCTGCCAGTTCGGATTTCGTCGATCATCAAGTTGAAGAGGCTCTCGCTGCTCTCGATGATTCCCGATTCGATTTCGAGTTTGACGACGAATCTGGGTCTGACGATGATGAGTATGGGTACTTTGGAGAACGCCATCGATTTGGGGCCTACTATTAGTAGTGGCCTTTGTGTATGCATATACGGACACAAATACCGCGCCCGATAAAGGACATTGCTTGGCAAAATAAAGGATGCGATTTCCTTGCGCGACAGAAGCAGATCCGACATGTTTCCGTTGAGGGCTAGAACGCGACAAGGAAACAAGCATTAATTGAGTACATTACAGGTGACCAAGTCATTGACCCCAACTCCGCAGTAATGGTACGCATATCCGGATAACCCGAGGACCGAGGTTTCTGGGCTTTGCAAGTGTTGAAACGCGTCGCTGAGTAGTTGCCTTCGCTGCAAAGAGAGATATGCGTTTCTACGGCGATACTCTCTTGCTTGCCACTCAATATAGTGCATTTTGTAGAGGACTAGCGCGGACGAAGATGGACGATGGAAGCAGAATGGATTGGCACATCCGAGTGTGACAGTCTGTGACATCGCTCATTCTGGTTTTGCATTTGACCACAACCTCCCGCCAATTGACGACGCCGAGTGTTTGGCGCCACGCCCATATGCCCATGCACTCCACCTCGCGGTATCTGCTTGTCATACTCGCCGTCGTCATCAGTGGACATTATATTCTCTCCCTCACTCATGACGCATACGGCCGAGCCACGTCCATCTCCCGTCTCATCAAACCTCGCCCAGACAATACCATCCCTGACGAGTACTACACCCATACCAACTCGTCTACTCTGCAAGTTGCTACCCGCCCCCGAGCAAACGCGACATTTGTCATTCTTGCACGGAACAGCGACCTCGACAATACTGTCCGCTCCTTACGCCGGATAGAAGACCGCTTCAACACACGACATCATTATCCCTTTGTTATCCTCAACGACGAAGTGTTCACAGATGAGTTCAAAAAGTGCGCGTCCTATTTTGATAGGAACGATGCTGATTTGCGTGGTAGACGTGTTTCTGCTGTAGCATCGGGTCCCGTCATGTATGGCCAAGTCCCGAAGGAACATTGGTGCGTTTCCATTGGTTCAACATCCAATTTTTTTTCCTTACATCGAGGTAGGGTGCAACCAGATTGGATAGACGAAGAACGGGCCACCAAAGGTCGCGAGGCGCTCGTGGCAGACAACGTCATTTACGGGGGCAGCGTCAGTTACCGAAATATGTGCCGCTTTAACTCTGGGTTAGCGAATAGATTATGTCAGACGTCGGATACTTACTCACAACCCTTAGTTTCTTTTTCAAGCATCCCCTCATGGAGAACTTCCGTTGGTACTGGCGCATCGAACCCGACGTCCATTTCCACTGCGACATCAATTTCGACCCTTTTCTCTACATGCAGGACCGCAACAAGGTCTACGGGTGGACGATAACGATGTACGAGTTCGAGAAGACGATTCCGACACTATGGGGGCATGTTAAAGGTGCATTGCTCTTTCTCGAGATTCCTTCACGCTGACTTGGAGCCCAGACTTCATCAAACTCCATCCAGAACACATTGCCAAGGATAATGCATTAGGTTTCATGAGCCACGAAAACGGTGACCGTTATAATCTTTGTCATTGCAAGTACCTATCACTTTTCTTCTTGCCTCTTGTTAACCCGCATGCAGTCTGGTCTAATTTTGAAATCGCGGACATGAACTTTTGGCGCGGAAAGGCCTACCAAGACTTCTTTGCCTACCTCGACTCGAAAGGTGGCTTCTACTACGAGGTTTGTCTACTTGCTTTGAATTCAAGTTTTCTGATGTAGTTTAGCGCTGGGGAGACGCTCCCGTACACTCAATAGCTGCAGGGTTGTTCGCATCGAAGGACCAGTTGCAATTCTTTGAAGAAATCGGCTATGAGCACAATCCGTATACCCATTGCCCGAAAGATCCGAAGATGTGGGAGAAGAACAAATGTGGATGTGACCCCGCACGCAGTTTTGGTGGGCTTGGTTTTTTCTTGCAACATTGCTCTTGTGTTGATGATATGGGTAGACTATGACGGGTATTCGTGTATGCGGCAGTGGGATGACTTCATTGGGAAGTGAGAGGCGAGTGCAGAACGACGATCACAACGAAAAGGCTTGCCGCTTTTCAGACCCAGCGCGGAGCCAGTTAAGCATGATACGATAGGTTGTACTATAATGTTGACAAGTATAGCAACTAGACGCAAAAGCGATTGTATTCACTTTAATGTTGCAAGACATGCTGGGCTATGTAGCCCTCGGCGCCCGCAGCCTGCTCGTTAAGTATACATTTCAACGGGGAAGGGTTTAAATTTCCTTACTCTAATAGTGCCGCGAGTCCAGGAAGGAGAGATTTGGCACTGAGAGGCTCAATGCATCGTCAGTCTATGGCATCCGGGACTGTCCCTGAAGCAGAGTAAACAGAAATAGCTGTCGGCAGGAATATTGATCGCATCATTCGCGGATCACATGGCTCCGTTTCCTTTGCTTCTTCTTCCTCACTTGCTCCCCCTGGGCTGACGATGCTCCAATGCCCAACCGACAACATTACGGCGATCGACCAGTCTAATTTCTGGGACCCAGAGCATGGCATAAACTGGGACGCCCATAGGTCCGCCTCGCGTTTGCAAGGAGAAAGTGGTGGCTGAGATTGTCTGCGTAGGATCGGCTGGTCCATCTCTGGGGGTTGTGCACTAATCGTGCGTTTCTTTTTCTGCCTTGATACATACCCCTCACCTTATAGACCCTTCTTATAACCTGCTATACTGTCTGGCAACATTGTCGGTGTGTGCTGCTGTTTGTGCTGCTTCAAACTCTAATAGTTCGTGCTCAGCAACTACACAGTCCCTCGAGAGCAACGCCAAATGTGCCTTCCGACCCTTTGACCCCCCCTTAGCAACCTGACCTCAACCTAGAATTCGAATATTGTACATGCCGCCGGTCTACGCCATCATCAGCTTCTTCTCCTACCGTTTCTTCCGCGACTACACATATTACTCTCTCATCGAAGTCGGTATGAACTGGCTCTCCCTCCCGCTACGTTTTGGAAACTCATTCCCGAGCCAGCGTATGAAGCAATAACGATCACCGCATTCCTGTGCGTCCTCGTTTCAATGGAATTAGTTCCAGTCTGACTCTAGTCCAGGCTCCTGATAATCGAATACGTGGCCGGAACATCCACAGACCACACGACTAAGGGAGCTATGGCAAGGAAAGACAAGCGTCCTTTACCAATGCCCTTCTGCTGTTGGAGATACCGTCCGACCAAAGCCTATTTCATGTATACCGTCAAGGTGAGTGGCAAACCAATTCTTAACCCCTCTGCTCAGTAAAGCGGCGTAGTGGTCTGTTCTGCAATATGTTATCGTCCGACCTCGTTAGTCCTCCGTTACCCTAAATGCCATGTCTAATCAACCCTAGTCGCTTCGATCGCAGGCATTGTCGCAGAGTATTTGGGTGTTCTTTGTGAAGCTCGTGGGTATGACCCTCGCTTCGCCAGCGTCTACCTTTCCATCGTAGACTTTATCAGCATCACGTAGGGCTTGCTTGTCTTGCTCTTCTCAACTAACGAACCGCCTAGGATCGCCCTTTACGGATTACTTCTCTTCTATGGTCTTACCAAAGAAGAGCTGTCGGACAAACGCCCCCTGGCTAAATTCCTCTGCATCAAGTTAATCGTGATGTTCACCTTCTACCAAACGTTTGTCTTCTCCATGCTGGAGGGAAGGGTCATTCATGGTCGGAGTTCTGTCCCCTCTTCAATACTCAAACTAACTCTGTCTAGAAACCATCTATTGGTCCGAAACTAACATCGCTAATGGTTTAAATGCGCTGGCCATTTGCATCGAGATGGTGTTCTTTGCGATTGGAATGGGATGGGCATACCCGGCGACTGAATACAGAACCTCTCGACCGACAAGTATATGGAAGCCACTATGGGACTCGTACGTTGCCTCTCCGTGAACCAAATGTTTTGTTGATGGCCACAGAATCAACTACTCCGACTTTATCAAGGAAATCTGGGGCTCGCTGCGCTACTACGTGACCGCTGCAAAGGAGCGGCGGCACCAGCGTGATCCCATCGAGAAAGAAGAGAAGCCCACATTCGCAACCGCGTTCGGGATTAGCCCGCCAGTCGGAGAGAGCGGAAGCCAGCTCGTGCCCAGCAGCGAAAGCGCATACGACTTGCAGGAGATGAACCACCACGACAGGCCGTATGATGGGCGACCGGCGTATGGTTTTGGTGCACCACAACACTCGTATGGGTCGGATAGCCCGCAGACGGCGGGGTTTACGTTCAGTCCTGGCCCGGGGCCAAATGCAACGTCGATGCGGCATAATCTACCTTGAGGAGTAGTTATCTATTTGTTGTATGACATACCCAGTGACCAACTCAAAATTACCTATACTTACTTATTTGTACCACTAGCTTTTGAGTCCAAACGTTTGGCTGGATCAGAAAAAAAGCATCAGTGTTCCATAAGTAGTATATGGGTGACCATCAGCGACGGTGCTTAGCACAAACTTCAGTTGGAGCATCTATGGCTTCCCAAACACGCCTTCCATTGGATCTGGAGCGCGAGGTATTCACGACAACTGCACTGATACACCCAAGCACAATTGCAAACCTACTTTTAGTCGCACGAAGAGTGTTTGATTGGTGACGAATCCCCAATTATTAGCAATACAAGTAACTTACTCTGCAGGGTGGCACCATTGGAATATGCATTCCTGAGATTAGATCATGAGTTGGCGCATCATCGTGCACGAGCCTTGAAATCCGCCCTTCAAAATTCAACCGACGCATTCCCTCTTGCTAGCATTCTTGCGTCCGGTGTTCGGCATGTAGCTGTCGAGCTTGACCACTGGAATCAAGCTGAAGGAGGTGATACCTTGGACCCGGCGCGTCGAATACTCAGCCTTTGCACACAAACCACGCATCTTGCTGCTTTAGGCGAGCTCGTCTCGCCTGAGCTCCTGCCCACACTCCAGTCGATGCAAAATTTACGCGTTTTGGCTATATACCTCGATCATCTTTTCGGACACACCACTCACATCAACCTCCTTCACCCCGCGGTGAAAAACATCACCCACCTCGATATTTTCGATCTTCTCGACGCTGAACTTGTGGGCATAGTCTCCGCCCAGCTTCCTCTTTTACCAGCGCTGACGCATCTCGCGTTCCGCCCGCCGGTAACGGGGGTGCCTTGGTCCATGATCTCGCATCTCCTGCGCAAATGTCAGCAGCTTAAAATGCTCGTTCTCCTTGTGTGGCCATCCCAAACCTTGTCACGAGAGGCCCCTGTTGGCGCACAAGATTCCCGCTTCGTCATGATCAAGTACCGTCGATGGGACGAGGCTGTTGGCGCTGAGGACCTCCCCACGTTTTGGAAACTTGGCGAGGATCTCGTTCGCTTGAAACGGGCGGGAGAGAGGCCGCGTGAGTTTGTTTGCTCTCTTCCTAGTCTCTCAAACGGTTTAAATAACTTAGTGACGGAATGTTGGGTTGAAAGAACGATGCGGGGTTCCGTTTGGGGGAAGTTTTTACCTTGAAGAGATTTCGCCGGCAGCGTGTAACTTGTCTTGTAGATGAACCATCTTTATTCTCGACAACCGCCGTCGTTTGGCTCGTCTTGCTTGTCCGCTGGTCGGGATTAACGAGGGAAATTGGCTCTAGGTTAAAAGCAAGACTGAAAAAGGAATCGGCTTCGCTCCATTCCAACACCCTGGCGAAGTGGCCACATGTGTAGGCAGATGCCAGGCTATGCAAATCACCTCTATACACAGTTAGATGCCAGTTTGAAGCGAAGCAAAGGAATTAGGGGTGCGTTGCACGACATGAACGATGGCACGTCTTGTGCTGTGGACGTCGGGTGACAGATAGGGAGACTAGCCCTCATTAATAACTGACGGTGAGCCTGAGCAAGGGTTTGTGATGCATTATTGATTGCTTTAGATTCGTCGCTGAATTTACGGCGCTTTCTTCCCTTGACTGATACGTTACGTCTAGATAGAGATTAAAGTAATCGAAACGCGCAAGGAACAAGATGGACACAATCAGTTCACCAGTTCTGCCAATCGGGAAGATGGTCCAAGCAAATATCCACCGTCCAGTCTGCCGTTCTTACCGCCCAGCAAAACACTTTCAGTCCTCGCTCGCCTTTACTTCTCACGACATCAGCCACCGCATCAAACGACGCTCGGTCGCCGTCCCGCATGACTGTAACCTCGAACACCCTTTTCTGGTCGTATATCAACATCGTGCTCCCCTCCAGCTCCGACGGGGTAAATTGTTTTTGAAGAAGCTGATATCCAGGGCCTCTGGCGTTGGACGAGGATAGCTGGACCTTGACGATGAAGGTTGAACTCCCGTGGGTATTCTCTGGAGGCTCGTCTGCAACAAGCTGCTCCTGTTTCTCCAGGCGTTCCACACGGTGTTGCACGATGTCGAATTTGTTCCATGTGAAAGCGACAGCGCCGGGTATCGACGGAAGTTGCTGACCGTCGATGAAGGTCAGTCGATGCCATCGAGCACCTTTGAGTTGGTTGCAGAGGGCTTTGTGGGCCTTCCAATCGTCTCTTTGGCATACTAAAAGCAAAGTGTTGTGTCAGGCATGCCATGATGCTCGAAAAAGGTCTCTACCTGAACCACAATAGCGTACAACACCGCAGCGAGAGCATTTCGATTTGGCTGGCTCTCCACAAATCGTACATCCATTGTTAGCACTATATTTTGCCGTGTCTTTTGCAGTCAATGGTCTGCATTTCAAATCAGCGACCAGCCACAAGAAAACAGAAAATGATCACCCTACAGGCAGAATAAAGCTACAGGTGAACGCAGACTCGGTCGACAGGCGCTTGGGCTGATATTTCTTTGCAATCCGTCTGCTGTTCTGTTTAAGGAGCCGGAGAAGCAGCTCTTGCTCTTTCAAGGTGGCGGTCACTGTCGCCATTGACCGGCCTTCATCCCGGTTATCCCGCAACCACGCAATAGCTTCTTGCGAGACAGTGCTCCGGACATCGTGGCGATACAAAAGGACGATGATGGGGGTGTTTTTGTCAAACTCTTTCACCTCAAGTACCTATACAGCGTGTTCATGGTTCCGGTAAAAGTTGTCAAAAAGTAGACGCACCCTCATCACAATCCCAGACAAGCCTTCTTTATCTTGGACGGCTATCGGAGGAAGCTCATCGCTCTTGAGCGTGTCGCACGCATTTCCAATGCCCATAACCGTCTGTCTCAAATCCCAAAACGCGTTTCCATAAAGCGGGAAATCTTTTCCCTCCGCAAAGAGCGATGCTTCCCCAAAGCTGTGGCGCCGGACCCCATCGAGAAGTTTCGCGTTGGAGGGGTTCTCGAACCAGGACGGGTAGATCCGCGGGTCGAGAGGCGGGTCAGGAATTACTCGAGACAGGTATTGCGCGCTGTCGAGCGCCTTTGTCAGTCGTTTGTCCAGCTCGGCGTCGGGAAGTTTGGTTTTTCTAGGTAGTTCAATGCCCATCGACTTTAGGAGCTCGAGGACTTCTTGTCGCCCAAGCATGGTAAAAGAAGGAAAGAAAGAAGTGTAGCATGTGACCGTGCCACCCCTTCCTTTCAATGCAACTCAACTCAAACTCAAGCCTGAGTGAAATAACCCAATGTTTACAGCAACATGCTCTTTACCAGTATAGCTGGTCTACAATAATGGCGAACTACGAGCTACAAATCTGTTGATACAAACTTCCATGCTTTGCTGCTAGTCCGTGTCAAGATGCTACGAAAAGGGAGGGAAAAAAAGGAAATCTCAGTCATCATCGTCTTCCGCATCCTCGGTCGAATCCAACCCACCCGCCGCCAACACGTCCGCCCGCGTATCGCTTTTAGCTTTTCGCACAACATAAAACCGTCCACCGACATTCTTCACATTCTCGCCGTCACGCAAACCACTTCCGGGGGCAGCCACAACGGCACGCCACAACATTTCCCGCACATCTGCTCCCAACTCCTCCTCTTCATCTTCCTCAGGGAGCGAGAAGTGGCCCCAAGCACCGGGCTGGACAATCCGCGCCAAACACCCAGCGGCAACCAGAATCCCTAGAGGCAGGTGCAAGTACGCGAGACCTGCAAGCACTGACAGGAAGATGGCGACATGCAAATGGGCGACGGAAACCCAATGGGCAAATTCACGAATAGGCTGCGTCGGCGGTGATGGGGACGAAAACGGGAAGATTAGGGAAAGTATGGCACGAAAGAGATGTCCTGCGTTGGATTGCGGGACGGTGGTGACGGTGGCAGGAAAGGCGATATTCGATAAATTGTCTGGGGCCAGAAGGATAACAGCTCCGACAAATGCTGCGTAGACGGGGAAGGCGACAAACTGCAAGGGAAGAAGGACAGAAACTTGCGTGAACGAGGGAACGTGGAGGCTGGATTGGTCCAAATCATCATTGTGGTTGAGAAAAGGAGAGGTAGGAGACAATTTCTCCACATTACTCTGATCTAGTTGCACCTGCGAGGGTAAGAATGGACTGCGATAAATGACTAGACTCACTCGACGATGGCGCAAAGTAGAATGCGCTCTGGGGGTAAACTCAATGGACTCGACTTCGTTCAGGAAGAATGGCACTGGAGGCTGGGCAGGCGAGAAAATATCGGATCTAAGAAGCCCTGGGCGACTTCGCGGCTGTATGACATTGTTAGGGTCGAAACTTTAGACTTGCAAAAGCAACCCACAGTCCTCACAACATCCTGGTTGACTGCGGTCGTATAAAAGTTCAATATGGAGTCAGGCGTTCGAGGGCGGGCTTCTTGAATAACATTTTCTTCAGGTTGATTAGGAGTCATTACGCCCGATGAGCAGTCAATTTCTGGAGAAGAATTTGGAACGGGGGGAGAATCGGGATACTGTAGCTCATCAGTTAACAGAAGCCCTCGAAAGACGCCGCAGCATACATAAGATTCGGGCTCCGAGCGAGGAGAATGTTGGCTCGCAGCTTTTACTTCTGCCTATAGGACGCGTCGATATCATGTCAACAAGCTTGAGCTCGCCACGCACATTACTCTTGACATCGACGATGGCTTTGGAGAACTGGCGAGGAAAGGAAACGCGATGAGAGGCCACGCCATGATATTCGAAGTCAATGAGGCCCTTTGGGGTAGTTGCTGCGAGAAGTGCGCCGTCTATAAGCTCGAAATCCAGAGCGTGTTCATCAGAGGGCGTGTGGAGAACGGAATCGTCGCTTTCTGTGGAGGTCGTTGACGAGGTAGATTCATTTCGAAGGATAGGTATAGGCTCAAGTTCCTTCGTGGATAGATTAACACGCGTTTATGGAGTGATGAAGCGCGTACCATAGTTGTTTGCATCGACGCAATTCGCAAAGAAGTCACGTCCTGTCACGACGGTCACACACACTTTTCTTTCACAAAACCATGCCGCGTCCAGGATTTGGCGTTGAAAGTTGGATGGGCATCGGGGGTGGAATTATATCCCCCGAATCGGAAGCCAAGTCTGCTCATCTGCAAGTCCTTCAATAGCACTGAGCTGATTAAATCTAGTTATAAACGCGGGGAGGAACTACTGAAAAGAAAGAAACATGCTGAGGCGATCCCATTCTTTCTCAAAGCAATGGAAGACGTTAACAATCTTGACGCGTGTGTCGCCGCCGCGCTTTCAATGCCCACTGATGAAGGCATCCGGTTCCTGCAAAGTGCCGAAGTCAAAGGTGGTCTTGTACAAATTCGCGGCGGCCGATGCATCTAATCTTTATTTGCCCTCAGGCCGTCAAAGCCTTCAACGTATTCTAAGTCCAGACTGTTTTGAGACTGGCTGTGAGTACGGAGCAGGGAAGTTCTGGGGAATAGTCCAAACTCGACCCTACATGCGGCTTCTAGGAACTCTAGTAAGAACATACGTCCATGCCGCCCGTTGGGATGACGCTGTGTACTACTGTCTTTCCATTTTGCCGTCTGATCTAACCATGGATAGCAAGACAAACGTAGAAATACTACGACTTTGCTTCTCCGATAATCTGGGTCAACGACAATGGATGGGTGCACTTCTCCTGCACGCAAACCGTCTAGAAGATGCGCTTTACTTCACTCAGAGGTGGATTCTTGCCGATGAGACGCCACCCGGTAGTGGTATCGACTTTCGTGCCCCGCAGCGGACTCCGATGACGGCGACGCAACTGGAGCAAGCAAAAAAGTGGCCTGACCTACAAATGGTTCATTCTGCGGCTCTGGCTACGTTTATGCTCGATGGAGACTCGGAGCTCGCTCGGCAGTACCTGCACATTGCGGTCAAATATCCGGAAGTTATGATCAAGGTTCTTGGACGGCACAAGGAGCGCCGTGAGTACATTTCCACTCGCCTCCCATCCGAGTCCTCCCTGAAATTACTACAGATGACGTTGATACTCATGCATTCCGCTCTTCCAACGGGCGTGAAGATGCTCGGGACCACCTCTGGCTTGCTCAGGAGTTTTGGATGAGAGACGACGTATGGGCATGGGTCAACAGTGACCCTGTTGTAAGAACTCACGTCTTGCGGAAATGCAGCGACTCTACGTGTCCCAAAATTGAGACCAGAGTCGGAGAATGGAGTAAATGTGCTAGTTGCAAACAGGTGTGCTGTCCATATCATGGTGTTTTTTCGCTGAGAAGAAAAAAGGTGTGGTATTGCTCGCGTGTCTGTCAAAAAGCCCACTGGGCCACGCACAAAGTGCCATGCAAGCGACAAAAGGAAGCCGACCTTTTTCATACCATGATGGCGAGGAGAGGCTAGCTTCAGCAAGTGGGGGGGGGGGTCTTTATACAACAGCTAATCATCGTACGGAATCCATGCAATCATAACTCTCTGCTAATTTCATTCTATCGCAACCGAGTGTAAATCTTGAGAGCTAATCAAGCGACTTTTCCAAGCTGTCGCTCCTAGCATCGTACTTAGCAAGCGTCATTTTCGCTGACCCAACTCGGAACAAGTGATCCATTCTTTTCCCCGAGAAACGCGTCCTTTATGTCTTGTTCATGACACAAGTCTCCGCCGCCAGGACGCGTCTACTGCCGTCTCTGGTACCGGTCAGCTAGCTGGAAGACGGGGAAGTATAAAAGACGACTCACCAATTCCAATGTTACTTAGCAAACACCCCCAACTTGAGATGTCTTCTCCTCAAAGCACACGCCAGTCTCGCGTTCCCTATGGTATATATGCTAACTTGTGCGGATACATTGCTTCTGATAGTGCTCGAACAGTTCGTCTCGGCAGCTCCGGTCTAAAGGTTTCTAAAATAATCCTCGGATGCATGTCGTATGGCTCATCTGAATGGCGTGACTGGACTTTGAACGAAGAGGAAAGCATCAAGCACATCAAATACGCGTTTGTTCACAACCAATTGCTTTGAACGTGCTTGTGCTAACCTGTTGTTGAGATTCGATGCGGGAATCAACACCTTCGACACAGCCGATGTAAGAGCATTATTTCTGTTTTACCCCCGCGCTCAGGCTTATGACTTCTCTCCAATAGATATACTCTAATGGGATGAGTGAAGTTGTGCTCGGGAAAGCAGTGAAGCAGCATCAAATTCCGCGTGAGGAAGTTGTTATTATGACCAAGGTCTATAGCTTTTCTCGCATTCTGGAATTGGTCGCTTACTGCACCAAAGCTCCGTCATCCAGTCGGGAAATCCATTTCTGTCCAGCCCACGGACCTCTTTGTTGCTGGCGAAGCGAAGCTCGACTCGATGGGATATCTCAACCAGTATGGCCTTTCCCGCAAGCATATATTTGCTTCAGTCAAGGGGAGCCTCGAGAGACTGGGAATGGATTATATTGATGTGCTACAAGGTGAGTGAGTTGTTACTCGTTTGTTTGCCTCTTGGGATCAGGGCTGATAGACGATCCAGTGCATCGCTTTGACTACGGCACACCAATTGAAGAGACTGTGAGTAAATTCTACCTGAAGCTTGTCAATGTCTCAGTCGTCTACGACAGATGCGCGCTTTGCACGATGTTGTTCAAGCTGGTTGGGTTCGCTACCTCGGAATGAGCTCATGCTATGCATATCAGTGCAAGTTCTGTCTCTCCCTTCTTTATAACCTACTCAATCATCTCCAGTCCATATCATGCAAAGTGCGGTTTTGTCCTTGGCACTTCCTGTTTAATTTTTCTTATCTGATAGACTACGCGTTGGCGCACAACCTCACGCCATTTATTGCGATGCAAAACCACTATAATCTACTCTATCGTGAAGAGGAGCGGGAAATGATGCCAACCCTCAAGGTCTGTTTTATTGACGGCTTATTTTACACTGATCTCACAACGTTGAAAAGCATTTTGGTGTTGGGTCTATTCCATGGTCTCCTCTTGCTCGTGGTGCTCTTGCTCGGTCTGCACCGACCCCGGAGGCATGTCTTGCCGTAGCCAAAAGACTCACTTGGCTTCAACCCGGGGGCGGAAATCAAGCTCCGGCTGCGGTCAGCGCCGGCGAGGTCAGCGAGGCTCATTGTGGACTCGTAGTGCTTCTCTCCTTATGATATCCTTCTTTAGTCCTCCCAGGACAGCGCACAAACTACTCGTCAGGCCTCCGATGAGCTGCCGGCCGAGGTGTATTTCCTCTTCGGGACAACAGGCAGCCGCGAAATCGTTAAACGCGTCGGCGAAATCGCCGAGAAGATCGGGAAAGAGACAAGCATGGCACAGGTTGCATTAGCATGGCTCATGGCCAAAGATGGTACGTCTCAGGCCCTTACCAAACTTGCATGAACACAAGTTAACATTGATGTAGGCGTTACCGCACCGATTGTTGGTACAACGTCCCTGGAGAAACTCGATGATCTTCTGCGTGCATGCAATTTGGAGCTTACCAAGGAGGACATGAAGTATCTGGAAGAGTGTTATAAGCCAACAGCTATATTCATGCACAATTGAGTACTCATAGTCTCATACTCAGGACTGAGTACTCCGTATAACCACTCTAAGTCTACTCGGAGTCGATTAGAAGTCACTGGAGCTAAGGAGGGCATAGAGTAGCTTGAATAAAATAGCCTGATTCTTTTTCCCATTTCGTTTATTTGCTGGCATCACGTCTACTGCAATCATGAAATGAATGATGACAGGACATGTGACCGCGTTGCTATCAACATCACATAAGGTGGCAGTGCCTCTCTCTCTCTCTCTTCGAAGTCTTCATGCTTTTGTCGAGAGAGACTCACACCGGCCTGACATTCTAATTTCAGCCTCATCCAAAAGCTTGAATGCAAATATCACGGCCTCCGAGTCATGCTATTTCACTCTCATTCGGGCTTGATCTCACTTGTTTGTAGCACCACAGACTAGCACAGACTATGTACCTTGACGAAGCATCAGTCCGCTGTCGTCCGCTGCCGCCGGTGGCTTACGACGCTTGGGCTTGCGCGGCTCGGCACAATGCTCGGTCGGCGTGCTCACTGATTTGGCAAACCGTGGACAAGTAACAATATCTATGGACGCGTCAGCGACTCATATCTCGGCCCCCATACCACATATAACCGTGACCTCACCTGGTTCATCCCAGTAAAAGATATCATGCGACTTTCAGCGCTCTGGATTGGGCCACTGCTTTTACCGCTGGCCTTAGCGTCAGGACCATTGGTCACCTTGGACTACGGGATGTACCAAGGTATTGACACTGGTAACCTCTCGACGTTCCTCGGTCTTCGCTATGCTGCACCAGCGTCAGTTTACTCATTTTTTTCCTCGCAATGTTCCATCATTTCATATTTTCTATTTGAATTAGAGCACGATTTACTCGACCCTCTCCACCTACCGCGTTCTCTGGCACTCAACTAGCCGACACCAATGGCGCTGCATGTCCTCAGCAAGCCTTAACATCGGTGGGCACAGGCCCCGCAGCTTCTCTGCCAACCACCTATACCTCAATGTCGGATGACTGTAAGCGGCCCCATTCTATTAATAAGGCATGCCATGCTTCCATGGGTCCTAGGTTTGACGCTAAGCGTCTTTGCGCCGAAATCGGCGACACACGATTCCAACCTTCCGGTCTTTTTCGTACGTGATCTATTGATGGTGAAGTGGATAAACGTTGAACAAATGTCATCAAGTGGATTTATGGTGGTTTGTCGCAACTCATTCGGCCGACTGCTATGGACTCACAATTTGTTCAGGTGGTTTTGAGGTCGGTTTCTACGCTGATAACGATTTGCGGCCATTTGTGGAGCGATCCATCCTCAAAGGCGAACCTGTTATTGTGGTAACGCCAAATTATCGTGTTTCCGGTGAGTTCTACATACCTGCTTCTGTCGTAAACCACTTACTTGGAATAGCCTACGGCTTCCTAGGGGGAAAAGAAGTTGGGCAAGCGGGATTAAGTAACCTTGGATTGAGAGATCGTGCGTTGAATTTATGTTATATTTTCTCCCCTTCACAGTGGTTCAGAGATCTTTGCACTCGAATGGGTCCAACAGCATATATCTGCGTTTGGTGGCGATCCCAGAAAGGTTGTGGTGTAAGACCTGTTGTTTCTCCCTGGTATTTGCCATTTGCTGACCGCAATACCTATTAGTGGTGGCGTCAGCGCGGGTTCCATGTCTATTGCGACCCTGCTTCTCAACAATAACCACTTCAAGGCTCAAGACCTATTCCGTGGCGCTTTTATGGTGAGTCGCCTTGGTCTCTGGATTATCTTCGGATGCTAATTCAATCAAGGAATCCGGCGCGCAAATACCCACCCCCGCTCTTGACGCCAGCCAACACGACTATGACTCCCTGGTCGCCGCCAATAACTGCACTGATTCGACCGACACACTCAATTGCCTCCGCCAAGTCCCACTCGGCGCGTTTAGTGCTACGGTGAACCAAACTGCAGACGTACTATCGTATCGCTCGATCAATATCCTCTGGCGCCCGCGTGTGGACGGTGACCTGATCGTGGAAGACCCATTCCGAGCTGTCAAACACGGTAGTTTCGCTCCGCTACCGTTCATCATCGGAGACGTGGACGACGAGGGAACGTGAGCCAACTTGAACTTGACACATAATGTGGCTCATATAAATCAGTGATTTCATGATCTCGAGTACCAACATCACGTTTGCTCTCCAGGTTTTTCTTCCAACATATGACTCATTCTCTCCCATAGCACCAACGAAGAGTTCATCGGATATTTGCCCAAGTAAGCAGTGATATTTCTTTGTATACATACTAAACATGACCTCAAGCTTCCTTCCTTCAGCCTCCGCTGAGCAGATCGATAAACTCTCGGTCCTTTACCCTGACGACCCGACGAAGGTAGAACCTCTTTCACAGTTGTGTATGCTGATGTGAAAACAAACTGAAGGGATCTCCATTCGATACGGGCGACGCAAATCAGCTGACGTGCGTGAACATCTCCGTCGCTATCAAGTCGTTCAATGAACTCATTGTTCTGGTGTAGGCCACAATCCAAGCGTATAGCCGCGTTCCTTGGGGACTACCTCTTTCAATCCGAACGCCGGTATTTTCTTGAACACGCTTCTCGGCGCCAGTCAACGTGGAGTTATCGTGTGTATCCTCTTTGTTCTTGACAGTCTATTGAGACCTGGCCGCTCAGTCGTTAAACGCGGCAAATCTACGCCCTTCTTCGGCTCTGCACATGGAGGAGATGTCAGCATATGGCTGCCCACGCCCGCGACGACTGATTTTGTTGTGACAGACTCTCTGAGTAAGAATATGCTCCACGCCTGTCTCTTCTGAGCTATGTTTTAGTCCACTTCATAAACACTCTGAACCCCAACAACGGACGATTTTCCCAGTGGCCCACCTGGAATACCCGCTCTGCCAGCGGGAACAACTCCCTCTTGACGCTCAGCGATCCAGCTGTGGTGAATATCACGGCAGACGACTTCAGGGTTGAACAGATCAAGCATATGCAAGAGCTGTTGCTGAACGGTGCAGCTTATTGAGAAATGGGCTTCTCATTATATCAGATGATTATATGGGCGGAAATGCAGTTTGTTTCTTTCACTCGTAAGACCGTGAGTGGTGTCATTGAACAGTATTTGAATTATGCAAGTCGGTGGTTCAGGGAGACTGAAGCGTCACGTTTTGATTGACCGTGAAACTTGAGGACAGCTACATATAATGAGCTCAAGAAGCTAATTGGCATGCCAGCAACTAAAATGACAAACGCATAGCAAAGCTGTTTCTAAAAAACAATTGGAAAGCCCTCGCCATCGACATAAAAATGTGACCCCGCAGTAACGGAGAGAGGGAAATGTCTTTCTCCTGAATGATAATATCACGCTGTCTCGCAACACTTCCACTACGATGTGTGGATCCTATAATGGATTCGCAAGGCACACGGCGCAGCTAGCAGCGCGCCACTATCATTTAAGCAAGCAACAGACGGATGCATTGACGATAAAGTACGTGAACTCCGTCCATTGGCACTCCCGGCGTTCGTCAGTCGAACCGTGCCGTTACATCGCTATTCAGATGATTGAGTGGAGAGTCATGACGTCTTTGGAGCGTCCTTACGTTTTTTATTCTTGGTGGTTGGCGCCGCCGGAGGACGTCAAACTTAAAGCGACCGGAAGCAAAGTACTGTAGGTCAAACGGAGAGGGGTCGAAAGCGTGGCGAGTCGTTGTGGCATTAAACCCTAGGATGAGAGATCCGAGTCCAATAATAATAAGCTGCCAGCCCAGCAAGTAACTTGAATCTTGATTAACTTTGCTTTTGATTTACTTACTCGACACAGAAGTTATTTTCGGCAGCCTCGTGTCAAGGCTATGAAGGGATTATGTGCATTTTGGACAGAAGCTCAGACACCGGATGTAAGAAACGAGGTGAAATGTGTTTTTGCCAAATTTTGGGAGACAAGAAAGGGTGTGTGATGTCAGCAGCTGTCACACAACTCTTGCAGTCGACAACGACGTTGTCGCCGATGGAGTCCTCTCCCCCTCCGGGAGACCCATTTAAGGACCATCTACTAGCGGTCCTTAGTCTATACGACGCCCCCGCCCAAGCTTCTATCCCCGTTCCCCGCTATCATGGCCCACGAGATTGGCAAACCGATGCCATTCTCCGCAAAGTCGAAGCTTTGCTTGGAGCTAGGAAGACTTCATCCTCCACGAAACCACCTTTAGTGAACGGGACAAACTCTTCACTACGCCGCCCAGGGACCCCCACGCTTGGCAGCCTCCCCCCACCAGACGACTTTGCCCTAAACCGCGCTCGCCCCGGCTCACCCGACTCAGAGTCCTCCTACAATACCGCCCTCGAAGACTCCATTCACCTTAACGGTGACTCCTCGTCATCGTCCGACACCGAAAACACCCAGCCACGACGGGCCCCAGTCGAAGGCATTTCCTTTACCTCCTACGCCGACTTCGCATCCAACCACGGAGGCATTCCTCGCGCTCCATACGATCCTGATTTCACCTCAACACCACCATTGGCCGCTCTCCCAACCTGCCCTGCATGCGGACATCGTTCTAGGAATCCAGCAGCGTTTTTCGCTGAGTATGGGGAAAGTCCAGGCGTCGTCACTGCCGACGGCGCCCTCGCAAGTGCTGTCACGCAAGGTGGAATGGATGCTCTAGAAGAACTACGGCTGCTCAAAGACCAAGTGTGTTATACAGCTCAGATTGTACTCTACTCTTACCTTTCTTCTCTTTTCCAGGTTCGTGATGTTGCTCGTGTCTGCAAGGCTGTGGCAGCAGGCGACCTCAAGCAGAAGATTATTGTACCAGTTCAGGGCGAGCTCATGATTCAGCTCAAGCAGGTAAGGCAGTCTATTATTCATTTCCAATCCTCTCCTTCGCAACTACTTTTCTAACCTTCATCCAGGTCATCAACTCTATGGTCGATAACTTGAGCGTTTTCGCGACGGAGGTGACGCGCGTCAGTCGAGATGTTGGGACAGAGGTCGGTTCCTGAATGCTTTGTCACCCCAATACTTGCTGACACATATCGCAGGGTAAGCTCGGTGCTCAGGCGCACATCGACAACGTGGAGGGAACATGGCGCGAACTCAAGACTGAGGTCAACACGTTAGCCCAAAATCTGACCACACAGGTCAGGAGTATCGCCGAAGTCACTACAGCGGTAGCCAACGGGGATTTGAGCAAGCAAATCGATGTGCGCTTTCCATATCACTCGCTTGTTAACATGCCAACATGAGGCAGGTTCCCGCTAAAGGCGAAGTCCTCAACCTCAAGAACACGGTCAACGGCATGGTGCTAAGACTACGAACCCTTGCAGTAGAGGTAACACGGGTTACGCTCGAGGTATGATTCACTGTATATTTCCTGGTGCGGATGTCTAACAGCGATACAGGTCGGAAACCAAGGCAAGCTAGGTGGCTATGCCAATGTTCCCGACGTTGAGGGTGTGTGGTCCGAGTTGGTTACAAATGTTTGCTTTGATTGCCTCTTTCCGAGTAAATATTCATTCATTACTAGGTCAATCGCATGTGTACGTCCCTCACGGACCAAGTACGAAGTATTGCGACTGTGACAACGGCCGTGGCAGAGGGAGACCTTACGCAGAAGGTTCGCCATCCTGGATTACTCGTTATTGACACTAATTCCCCCAGGTCACAATTCAGGCGGCGGGCGAAATTAGCACACTCAAGGATACAGTCAATCGAATGGTGGACCAAGTATGTCATATGGCGTCCATAACTTCCCCCACTTAATTCTATGATTATAGCTTAGTGCTTTCGCGTCTGAGGTCACCCGAGTAGCGTTGGAGGTCGGCACGGAAGGGAAGTTGGGTGGACAAGCCCAAGTTCTCGGTGTTTTGGGAACGTGGAAGGATCTGACCGACAACGTCAATGTGAGTTCGCCTTGTTATCACTCTAATGGTCATATTCTTAGTTGTGGCACAGAAAATGGCGTCCAATCTTACTGGTCAAGTACGTTCGATATCGGAGGTGACCAAGGCAGTTGCAAATGGAGACCTGAGCAAAGCGATGGAGGTTGACGTGAGTGGAGAGATGCTCGACTTGAAGGTGACCATCAACGAAATGGTGGAGAGATTGGGCCGATTCTCGAGAGAGGTTACGCGTGTGGCTCTCGAAGTCGGCACGGAGGGCAAGTTAGGAGGACAGGCGGAAGTCGAAGGTGTGCAGGGCACCTGGAAAGATCTTACCGACAACGTTAATGTGCGTGAATTTTTTCAATCCTTTCTCTTTCAATAATGTCGCGCAGAAAATGGCCTCTAATCTCACACTACAAGTGCGCTCTATATCGGAAGTGACGACTGCTGTTGCGTATGGAGACCTGACCAAGGCCATCGACGTTGATGTTCGTGGAGAAATGCTGGACCTGAAGATTACAATCAACGAGATGGTCAATCAACTGGGGCATTTCTCGCGGGAGGTGACACGAGTGGCTCTCGAGGTCGGAACAGAGGGCAAGTTGGGAGGCCAGGCGGAGGTCGAGGGAGTCCAAGGGACATGGAAAGATTTGACCGACAACGTGAACAAAATGGCATCAAATCTAACATCGCAGGTCCGCTCGATATCCAAGGTCACCAAAGCGGTCGCGTATGGCGACTTGACCAAAGAGATTGACGTGGATGTTCGCGGAGAGATGCTGGACCTGAAAGTCACGATCAACGAAATGGTGGAACGACTGGGTCGATTTTCACGAGAGGTGACGAGAGTCGCATTGGAGGTCGGCACGGAGGGAAAGCTAGGGGGTCAAGCCGAAGTCGAGGGCGTGCAAGGGACATGGAAGGATCTAACCGATAATGTCAACAAGATGGCTTCCAACTTAACGCTGCAAGTGCGATCTATCTCCGAGGTCACCAAGGCGGTCGCAACTGGAGACTTGACGAAGGCCATTGATGTCGACGTGCGAGGAGAAATGTTGGATCTCAAAGTGACTATCAACGAAATGGTGGGACGCTTGGGGCGATTCTCTCGTGAGGTCACCAGAGTAGCGTTGGAGGTCGGTACCGAGGGGAAGCTTGGAGGGCAGGCCGAGGTTGAGGGTGTACAAGGAACATGGAAAGACTTGACCAATAACGTCAACGTGAGTTTTTCTGTGGGATTCAACCCTACATTAACTCGGTGCATAGAAAATGGCTTCCAATCTGACATCACAAGTCCGTTCAATCTCCGAGGTCACTAAAGCCGTCGCGTTTGGTGACCTGCACAAGACGATTGATGTCGACGTTCGAGGAGAAATGCTTGACCTGAAGGTCACCATAAACGAGATGGTTACGCGTCTCGGCAACTTCTCTCGTGAAGTCACCCGTGTTGCACTCGAGGTGGGCACTGACGGAAAACTCGGTGGCCAAGCAGAGGTCGAAGGTGTCCAGGGCACTTGGCGAGACTTGACCGACAATGTCAATAAGATGGCATCAAATCTGACCAACCAAGTCAGGACGATATCCAAGGTCACCAAAGCTGTTGCTTTGGGTGATCTCACGCAAACGGTTGATGTTGATGTTCAAGGAGAGATGCTTGATCTCAAAATCACGATCAATGACATGGTCTCGCAATTACAGACCTTCTCTAGCGAGGTAACGCGAGTGGCGCTTGAGGTCGGTACCGAGGGAAAACTTGGCGGGCAAGCCACTGTCGAGGGAGTTCAAGGCACCTGGAAAGATCTCACCGATAATGTCAACGTTCGTTTTTCCTTCCTTTTGTGTGCTTGAGTATTGCTGATGACTCTTTGACAACAGAAAATGGCCTCTAACTTGACTTCACAAGTACGATCCATCTCCAAAGTCACGAAAGCCGTCGCCTACGGAGATTTGACAAAAGAAATCGATGTCGATGTGCGCGGAGAAATGCTTGATCTGAAGGTTACCATCAACGAGATGGTGGAGCGCTTGGGTACATTCTCCAACGAGGTAACCAAGCTTGCTTTGGATGTTGGAACATATGGCAAACTTGGTGGACAAGCCAAAGTCGAGGGTGTACAAGGCACGTGGAAAGATCTCACCGATAATGTTAACGTGAGCTATTCTGTTGACTTTGTTTGGTTCGCTGTTATGCTTATTTGTGATTTAGAAAATGGCCTCCAATTTGACGTTACAAGTGCGGTCCATTTCGGAAGTTACCAAAGCTGTCGCCTTTGGCGATCTGAGCCAAACCATCGATGTCAACGTTAGCGGCGAAATGCTTGATCTCACTGTGACGATCAACGAGATGGTGGAACGTTTGCAGACCTTCTCGAGTGAGGTTACGCGTGTTGCTCTCGAAGTCGGAACTGAAGGGAAACTCGGGGGACAAGCAAAAGTCGAGGGCGTTCAGGGAACCTGGAAGGACTTAACAGATAATGTCAACGTGAGACAAGACCCCGTCCTTCTATCTTCCATGTCTGACGATAATTTTGCAGAAAATGGCCTCCAACCTCACCCTCCAAGTTCGCTCCATCTCAGAAGTGACCAAAGCTGTCGCACACGGCAACCTCCACAAGACCATTGATGTCGACGTTGCAGGCGAAATGTTGGATCTGAAGGTGACCATCAACGAAATGGTGGAACGACTGGGCAACTTCTCGAGCGAGGTTACCAAGCTTGCATTGGACGTCGGAACCTATGGGAAGCTTGGTGGTCAGGCCCAAGTCGAGGGTGCCCAAGGTACCTGGAAGGATTTGACGGATAATGTCAACGTTGGTGCTTTGAATGTGCCCTCAATAACTTTTTGACATCACGCAGAAAATGGCGTCAAATCTAACCCTTCAAGTCCGTGGCATCTCTCTCGTCACCAAGGCAGTTGCGTTGGGAGACCTGACCAACAAAATCGAAGTGGATGTCAGTGGCGAAATGCTCGACCTCAAGGTCACCATCAATGAGATGGTGGAACGTCTGCAGAACTTCTCGAGTGAGGTTACACGTGTCGCGCTCGATGTCGGCACCGAAGGGAAGCTCGGAGGGCAAGCCAAGGTGGAAGGAGTTCAAGGAACGTGGAAGGATCTCACCACAAACGTCAATGTGAGTTGTTCAACTTCGGGTAACTCTCTGAACTGTTCTGATTTGTTTATTAGAAAATGGCCTCCAATCTGACAAATCAAGTCCGTACCATCTCCAAAGTTACCAAAGCCGTCGCATTAGGTGACCTCACGCAAACCGTCGACGTCGATGTCAAGGGAGAAATGCTAGACCTCAAGATCACAATAAACGACATGGTGGCCCAGCTCGGCATATTTGCTAGTGAAGTCACTCGTGTCGCGTTGGAGGTAGGCACAGATGGAAAGCTCGGGGGACAAGCCAGAGTGGATGGGGTGCAAGGAACCTGGAAAGACCTCACCGATAACGTCAATGTATGCGTCCCCTCTTTTTCTTTCGATTAAACATACTCAACTCTGCACAACAGAAAATGGCTTCCAATCTAACGCTTCAAGTTCGATCCATTTCTGAAGTTACTACTGCCGTTGCCCGGGGAGACTTGACGCAAAAGGTCGAAATCGATGTCAAGGGCGAAATGCTAGACTTAAAATCGACGATCAATGACATGGTGGCACAACTGGGCATATTTGCTAGCGAAGTCACTCGTGTTGCGTTGGAAGTGGGCACAGACGGGAAGCTGGGTGGACAAGCCAAAGTCGAAGGTGTCCAGGGAACATGGAAGGATCTGACGACCAATGTGAACGTGAGTTGACTTGATCATTATTGGTGGTTCAAGCTAATGCGTTCTAGAACATGGCTTCAAATCTTACCAACCAAGTGCGCACGATCTCCAATGTCACTAAAGCAGTCGCTCTGGGAGATCTTACCCAAACTGTTGACGTTGATGTTAAAGGCGAGATGCTCGACCTCAAGATCACGATAAATGACATGGTGGCCCAACTGGGTATCTTTGCGAGCGAGGTCACACGTGTCGCGCTGGAAGTTGGGACCGATGGAAGACTTGGAGGACAGGCTATGGTGGATGGTGTTCAGGGAACATGGAAAGATCTCACCAACAATGTCAATGTGCGTATATTTTGTTCATCTTTGGACTTGGATTGATCTGATTCTGTAGAAAATGGCCTCCAATTTGACGCTCCAAGTTCGGTCCATCTCGGAGGTCACCACCGCTGTAGCCCGAGGCGATCTTACCCAAAAGGTTGAAATCGATGTCAAGGGTGAAATGCTTGATCTGAAATCGACTATCAACGACATGGTCTCGCAATTGAGCATTTTTGCAAGTGAAGTCACCCGAGTCGCCCTCGAGGTCGGTACTGAGGGCAAACTCGGTGGTCAAGCACAAGTCGAAGGAGTTCAGGGGTCTTGGAAGGTGCTACAATCCTCTCGTCTCTAGATCACTCATAATTGTTTTTTCTTCTTCGTAGATCGTCACCGACAACGTCAACAGGATGGCCGACAATCTTACTACGCAAGTGCGATCTATTGCGGAAGTGACGAAAGCGGTTGCTATGGGCGACCTAACGAAGCAAGTCAGCATTGACGCCAGCGGCGAGATATTGGCCTTGAAGAACACCGTGAACGCTATGACAGAGTCACTCAGTCAATTTGCAGCGGAGGTTACACGAGTGGCACGAGAAGTCGGCACCGAAGGGAAACTCGGTGGTCAAGCTACAGTCGAAGGTGTCCAAGGAACCTGGAAAGATCTCACTGACAACGTCAACGTCATGGCAAACAACGTTCGTGTGCAATGCATTGCTTCTATTGGTGTTCATTCTCTTTAGCTGACCCTCCAAGTTCGAACCATATCCGATGCAACGGTTTGTATTGAGGCCTCGTCAACCTACCAGGACACTTATACACATATAGAAAGCGGTTGCTCGCGGTGATTTGACCAAGAAGATCGTAGATCTTCCTGTCGTTGTGTCCGGAGAGATTCTCAGTCTTGTCAACACCATCAACGACATGATCGACCAGCTAGATATCTTCGCCAGTGAAGTCAAGAAAGTCGCTCTGGAAGTGGGGACCAAAGGCAATATGGGTGTCCAGGCAGAGGTCGGCGCTGTCCAAGGCATCTGGCTTGAGATCACGTGTGTATTTTCCCCGAATTTGTATTGACTTTGCTGATCGCTGCATAGTGTGTCCGTCAACACAATGGCCAGCAGCTTGACAACTCAAGTTCGTGGTTTCGCCCAAATTTCCAAGGCAGCGTCGGATGGCGACTTCACTTCCTTCATTACTGTCGAGGCAAGTGGCGAGATGGACGAACTCAAGTCGCGAATCAATCAAATGTTATACGATCTACGAGACAGTATCCAGAAGAATACAGCAGCCAGGGAGGCGGCGGAACTTGCTAACAGGACAAAGAGTGAATTCCTGGCGAACATGAGCCATGAGATTCGGTGAGTATCTATATTTATTCTGTGATTCACCCAAATCTTATTCTCCCCAGAACACCCATGAATGGCATTATTGGCATGACGGAGCTTACGCTCGATAGTGATCTCACCCGCAGTCAACGCGAAAGTCTGTTGCTTGTCCACAGTCTGGCCCGAAGCTTGCTGCTCATCATAGACGACGTGTTGGATATCTCAAAGAGTAAGTCGTAAACTGCATTGAAAACCTCATTTTCGCTCAACATCATGGCAGTCGAGGCTGGTCGTATGACTATAGAAGCCGTTCCCTACTCCCTACGACAAACGGTCCTTGATATTCTGAAAGCCTTGGTCGGAAGGGCGACTCAGAAAGGGCTGGACCTTATTCTCGATATCGACTACGAGATCCCCGATGCTTTGATTGGTGATCCACTCAGGTTGCGACAAGTCATCACAAATCTCGTTGGGAATGCCATCAAGTTCACTCGAGTTGGCTATGTTGCTCTCAATATCCATCTCGTTGCGTCCGATCCAGATAACGCGACATTACAATTTTGTGTTGTGGACACCGGCATCGGAATCGCCCATGACAAGCTCAAGGTCATCTTCGATACCTTCTGCCAAGCAGATGGCTCGACGACTAGGGTACGAAGTCGCTGTTGTCCGACTCACTTACTTACCCATGGCGTAGGAATATGGCGGCACTGGTCTCGGACTGTCAATATCGAAACGACTGACTTCTCTCATGCAAGGCGACATCTGGGTGGAAAGCGAGCTAGGCAAAGGCAGCAAGTTCTACTTCACGATCAGCTGTCCTCTGAACGAGCAAGAGGCCATGGACACGACACTGCTCAAATTAACGCCATTTACGAAACGGACCATTCTTTTCGTCGATACCTTGCACGACACCACAGGCGTCAAGGACAGGATTGAAGAGATTGGTCTTGTTCCTCTTGTCGTGCACTCTGTCAGCGACGTTGCAAGCAAGGAGAAGTGTCCGGATATCGATGCCATCATCGTCGACTCTATGCCTGGAGTAAGTCTCCGTGTTTGTGGTTCCTGATCGTGACATTGACCTGCTGCAGACTGAAAGCCTCCGGGAACATGATCATCTACGATACATTCCTATTGCTCTTGTCGCTCCGACAATGCCTCGTCTGAACAGTGAGTAGTTGAATCATTAACCGAGAAAACACTGAGCAAGTTATCAGTGAAATGGTGTCTAGAGAATGGCATTAGCGCCCACAACACGACGCCCGTGTCGGCTCTCGATCTTGCTTCTGTCTTGCTGTCGGCTTTGGAGAACAACACTGTCAGTCTGAATCGCGCGAGTGAAGCCAGCAATGTCACGTACGACATCCTCCTGGCAGAGGACAATCTTGTGAACCAGAAGCTGGCAATGAAGATTCTGGAGATGTACGGGCATTCAATAGAGCTGGCAGAGAACGGCAGTCTTGCTGTCCATGCGTTCATTGAGCGGGCCTTACAGAACAAGCCATTTGACATCATCTTGGTGAAATCCTCTCCTCTCAAGTTTTTTTCCCTTATTGATAACAACTAGATGGATGTGTCGATGCCACTTATGAGCGGAATGGAGGCCACTCAACGGATAAGGCAGTATGAGATTCAGTACAATCTGACGCCGACCCCAATCATTGCCTTGACGGCGCATGCTAGTGCGTATATCGACCTCTCGCCAGGGTTTTCTGACGGACGAGCAGTGATTGGTGATCGCGAGCGGTGTTTACAGGCTGGTATGAATGACCACATAACCAGTGCGTGTTACTGCTTGTTGCTTGGCTCTATGTTGATATTTTGGCAGAGCCTCTTCGTCGTGTGGACCTGCTGAACACCATCAAACGGCTAACCGCGGAATCTGGTATTCGGCGGCCGTTGTTGCGCAAACGGGCTATCAAGTACCCCGACTACATGCCTGAACACCTTGCTCCATGACCGTGACTGTGTCTCGAGTCCTGCTGTCATATACCTCCGTCATCTGTCTCCCCATTGTACTGCTGTCGTTCTTCGCCATTGTATCCCTTCGCGCAACACTGTACCACTAGATATCATGGACTCCTTGCATTCCTTCCTCACTAATTACTAATGTCCCAAGCTTTCCAACTCCAACTCTATTCCTTCTTGTATCATTTACTTCTTCACTTAGTAGCATACCTAATTTAATGTCTACATGCCATTGGAATTCATCTCTTATCTTTGTCTGGAAGCTTGGATACTGCTTTCTATAGATGGGTTGAGGTGAAAAATCGGGGGGCAGACAACAACTGGGAAAAACCAGTAGTGCAACAAGGCGTGACGCCGCCCAAGCACGGTGCTCGTCCTCCTTGTAGTACTAGTATATATTAATGCATCTCCACAGCGCTCGCAGAATCTACTAGTACTCGCGTCGTATAATTAAATTTCAGTAAATTTCCCCACTCCGACTCGGGAACTTCGGACCCAATGCATTTAAATTTGTGCCGAAAATTCACTCCTCGCCTGACTCCCTCACCTTCCTGCTTCCCTCCTCCTCACGACAACACGCGTTAAAAGCTGACAGAGCTCCCAAGGTATGGCGGCACGGTCCCGTGCTGAGCGTGACTTCAAGTTTAGAAGCCAGTTCAGATCTAGATCAGGTGCAACACGATCCAAGAGCACAATGCGCACTGGCTTTGTCGAGGGTTGCTAAACGGGGCTTATTATAAATTCAAGCGACCACCGAGCTTGCTTCACCCACCGCTATTTTCCTGCTTTCCTTTCCCGACCACCTGTTGGACGACCACAAGTTTTAATGGATGCCACCTCACGGCTGGGAATGGAGGGGATACTGTGGAGTCAGTGGACACATCTGGGCGACGGACTTATCGAAGCGCCGTCAAAGGTATGGCCTTCTACGCATTATAATTATGGGGAGTGTCTGGAGCGACATTTACAGTTTTTAACACTGCCGCTGCCGATATCTAGCTCGGAGGCTGCCGACCGGCTGAAAGAAGCTTTCAAAATCAACCACCGTGGCGTGCGGTACGAGTGGAAAGACGGTCGACTGGTCGTTACCCTTCCGCGACGGGACATATTCAAGCCTGCGATTTCCCTTCTCCCAGGCTACGGGATCCACCCCAGCCTGACGGTGTCGCCAACCCCACTGCCCCCACAGGAGATGTTATTCGATCAGATTACCCCGCAAACGGTGATGGAGTGGGAGCAGCTGCGTCCGGGCAGGGCCATTGCGGACGTTCCGCAACTGTACCGTCCCCTGACCAACTTGTTCTTGGTGGAACAGTATGAGCCGAAGCAGGGCGCAGGTTCATTCGATGCTGGGGTCGATGAGTTGCTCGCGATGCTCTTGGGTGGAGAAGAGCCGAATTTGCAGCAGCCATCGGACGGTATCAGGCTTCCGGAGTTGGAAGGCGGGATGGAATTCTCGGAAGAGACGCATCGCTGGCAGCCGTCTAGGAGGGATGAACTCTTAGCGCTGTTGCAGACGCTATCGAGGCAGCGTGATGCGGAAAGGGAGAAAAATCCAAAGAAAAGAAGTCTGAACGAGAGTGTGTCCGCTGGCGGACAGCCAGGTAAACGCCCGCGCGTGTTGGCCGACAAGAATGGGGACGAGACTAAGGCTCCTCAGCCAAGGATCATTGACGAGAAGAAGAACCTGCCTCCGCGAAAGAGTTCGAAGAAATCACGTCGGGACGAGGATATTCAATGGCAGTTGGAAGACGGAGTTGGCGATAAACACTACACGTGCCTTTATCCAGGAAGTCGGGGAAATCGGCGCCGAGAGGAAGAGTGCGGCCATACAACGAAGAGCGACAGCGGCATGCGGAAGCACATCGCAGACAAACATGCAACATGAAATTTATAATTTTATATACCCATTCGTGTTCGTATGCCTTGAGACTTAATCTCAATTGGTCCTTCGTCTAACAAGGAAAAGAAGTTAGTCTGTAAGATCGCGACAAGTAGTTGCTTACCTCCCTATTCACCGAGGTCTATGGCACCACTGGAAGCTAGAATTAGCCGACTGATGTGGCGAAGACCTGTTTCTTTTGTCCCTCGACAAACGAGTCATAAGAGCTATGGCCTATGCCGAATACGTTGGCGTCGAATGGTTGGCAAAAAACCCAAATTTACAAGGAAGATCTCAAAAGAAATGTGTGACCGCTTGTGACACTCCATTTCTTCTTCACCGAAACACAACCGAAACAACCTCGCCCACGCGCTCAGTTTCGCACCCGACAACACCATTCAATCTCCCTCGCTCTTTCCGACCCCATTTCTGCCAGCTCTTCGTCCACCGTGGTACCGCTTAGGACGTTCTCCGCACCGTTGGGCTGCTGTATTCTTCGAAGCAACTCAAATCTCAACCTTCCATCGTCGTCAAGACATCATTATCAACGAGAATGGGTCTCTTCAAGCTCACGGGCATCCTCTTCCTCGCTCAATTCTTTTCCTTCGTGTATGGCTCAGCCCACCCAAACAACGACCCAGAAACTCGCGGGCTAGATGTGAACCTCAATCGTCAACAAGTCCATCTCGCCAGCCTCCTGGGTCCTATTGACTCGCTGCTGGGCTATGTTTTCGCCATGGGCAAGATTGCAGGCGGAGTTCTTGAGTCTCTTGCGGGTGATAATCCTGGCCAGGGCGACTATCGTGGGGGGCAATGTGCGGATGTCATGGTTTGCGGCAAATTGTGTGATACCCAGACTTTTCAATATGCTGCCAGGTCATTTTCGCTCGTGGAACAACTCAATCCGGCACAATTGGAGGCACTGTCGGTCCCGCTTTCCTCAATTCAACCCTCAATGCACTGGCGCAAGCTATTCCTCCCATGAACTTGAGTTTCACTGGCGTCCCATACCCTGCAGCGATGGAGGACTTTTTCGAAGGGGGGAGTAAGAATGGGAGCATCACAATGGCGTCCATGGTCTGTGACTGCTTGCGATAGCTGGCGTGTCTGATGCAGCTCTTAGCTTGAACAAGCAGCGTTGAAATGCCCAGACTCTGCCATCATCTCGACTGGATATAGCCAAGGAGGACAGGTTGTGCACAACTCGGCTCGCATTCTCGCACAATATCACCCTGAGGCTTTCAAGCATATCAAGGCTTTCGTCATCTTTGTGAGTACATCTCTTATCTCGAGCAGGTTTTTTATCTCAATCTTTGGGTTCAGGGAGATCCCGACTCGCAGCAAACTTTGCCCAGTCAGGTTCCTCCCTACTCAATCGACACGGTGTGTCACTCGGGCGATGCGGTTTGCGGGTCGGCGGCGAAACATGTAGGGTACAGGAGCTCGCCGGAGTTGGGTCTGTTGCTGAAGGCGCCGTTCATTGGCTTGACATTGCCGCAACATTTGTGAGTCGCTCTAGGCCTTGACTTGGTGTTGCTCAATTGTGGTTCAGGAACTACCAGAAGGAGACGGATGATGCGGCACAGTTTATTATCCGAGCTCTCAAGCCGTCGTCTGGACCAGTCGTGCATGTATAAGCCCTACTAGGTAGTCATCATCATCATCTTTACAGCTAGTGTCACCCAAAGCATCTTGAGTAGTCTGCCAGTGCTTCTGCTCCAAGCTCAAGTCCTAATTAGATTATCTTGGGTCCATCCACCACCATGCTCCTTTTCTGTGACCCTTTCTTGACACTTTCTTGACCTAACCCGTGACTTGTGTCATCACGCGGCAACCAAGTTTCAAATTTCCGCTACCATGCAGTCTTGTTCTTTCTCTTTCCTGTCATGCTCTCCAGACAGGAGCTGCTCGACCTTCTGGCCGCGATTGGTGTCAAGCTGCCTCCAAAAACGAAGCTCTCCGACGCAGATCTTGACAAGCGGCTCTCCAAAACACTTGACAGTGCACAATATCTGTCGCGTGTGGTGCCGAGCCCACCCCTGGACCCGTCTGTGTATCCGTCATGGTTAAACAAAACGCACAAATCGGTGACGGTCCTGGAGGGCATCCGGCGCCACAACACACACGAAGCGGGGATGAATGCCGCGCTGAAGGACCCGTTTCCGCTGTTTGGAAATCCGTTCATGGACTTGCGCCAGACGATGATGTCGATTGCGCAGCGGTGCGACGAGGCCCGGGTGGGGGCGAAATTCCCGCCAATTGTGGTTGGAGATGAGGCAGGGTCGTCGGGAATTGGACTGCGAGTGCGTTTTCTTTTTCTTCAAGTTTTGACGAAGCGCTAATCTGCGAGCGTAGGTGCTGGACGTAAGACGATTCGACGCAGCCACACCGATTCTCTTTGTCGTGTATCGTACGCCGATGAAGCCAGCACTCACGCCAGAGACACAAGCCTGGCTGCAAGACAATCCGACGTCAGGAAATATGGGCTTGATTAAAATAACGGCGACGCTGAAAGAGCAAGAGATGCTACTACGCCTTCTCAAGCAGAACAGCAAGCGACTTGTCAAGACCTACAAACCCAGGCGTGCTCCCTCCGAGACGTCGTTCACGTTGTCGTTCCTTCTACCGGTCGGGTGAGAAGCACCATTGTCTATTATACTCAACACTGATACTTTCCCAGTCCCCTGACTGCGAGCGATATGGCCAAGCATAGTACCAACTCTGGCTGCACCGTTTGCGGCGACCCTGCGAAATCCAAGTGCTCTCGCTGTGGAGTAATGCGTTATTGCGACTCAGGTAGATGCCGCTGTCGAAAAATCAGAAAAGCTTACTCATTGTTGACTAGTATGCCAGAAGGACGACTGGAAAACCCACCGCTCGCTATGCACCAGCTGGCAGGGCGGCACATGGCAGCGAATCACGTTCACCACCGCCGACCACCGACCACACGGAATTTACATGGCCCGCATGAGTAAATTCGACATCGTGCAACACGGGGACATGGTAGTCCGCCAGAAGGCGTTAACACACAATCCGGAGAATCCCGCCCCCGCGAACACACACGGGCTGACGCCGTTTATAGTCAAATTACAAGTCATTACGCCCTCCACACTGGGCCCTGCGGGTATGCCTGCGATGCTGATGGATCCTGGCATGAACGGCGAGGAACTGGTGCATATCATGGTCTACGACCAGAAGCGGGCTTTCGATGCGTTGATAATGCGGGAGTCATCCAACCTGCAAGAGTGGAACAAGGTTGCTGGGGTTGTCTCGACGCAGAAGAAAGCGATCAAGGCATTTGCGTGGGCGGTAAGGACAGGCGAATGGACCCTCGATGTTTGTTTGGATAGATTTCCGGACTGGCAAATGTGGTAGTGTTGTCGTACAATGTGCATTAGGGTTAGGGTTAGCTTGCTGAACAAGCCAAAAAAAGCGAGCCCCGACGACCCAAGCCAAATAAGTGCAAAGGCAAGGTCATCATGCTCCTCACTCTGATGCAAGCAGAGCAGAATAGGGAGCTAGGGCCGGCAAAAATTAGATAACCAGAATGACCACTCGTGGTGGTCGTAAAAGCGGTTAAGCTTTTAAGAACAGATACTACACATGATCTAAGCCTGGGTGGCCAGAGTGGGTAAGGAGACGGTGTGTTGTCGAGGGTTCTTATTGGTCTGGCGATGGTCCGTGCGCCGATACAGGAATCATATGATTAGATGGTGACATGGTCCGTGCACAGACGCGATCACGTGCACGTGTACACTGTCCACCCTCCAGACGCTCTCCTGTCGTTGCGTCTTGCGGGAATGTTGCCAGGTGCTCTCTTTGTCAGTAATCCACGTAAAATCTAACAAACCGAGTGATTATCACAATCAACGCACGTCTAAACGATGATTCGGGCCCAAATTGGCTTCAGTGCAGAGTAGATATCGATATCGTACATACAAACTTTCGCACAAATGTTGATACAACAAGTAAAAAAACGTTCAGCGGACCAGCTGGGTCGCAGGGATTCCTTTGGGCACTGGTGCATGGGGAACGGGAGCATGCGGCACCTTCAGTTTGAGCCCCAAGTCCTCTGCGATCAGATCTGCACCCTTTTCGCCGACCAACAACGCAGACGAGTAGGTGTTGGTCCCCAAGTTGTCAGGGCAAATCGACAGGTCGACGCATTTGAGGTTCTGCGTCCCGAAAACGTTGAGGCGGCCATCGACAACACCGCCTTCCTCGCGGGGCTTCATCGCTATTAATCTATTAGCCGAATAAATCTCGAGTCTCAGGTTAATGTAGCTACCGCAAGTGCCTAGACTGTGCCAGGTCGTCTCAACGTGGTCGGCAATCCAGTCATCGATGGCCTGGTCGTCCTCGGCGGTGTATTTGATGTCCTCGTGAACCTTGGCAGCATCATACTGGTCGCCGGGCTTGTGCCAGGTACCCTAAAGAGAAATTAATGATAGCGAAGGAACAGCAGGCTATCGTACCATATGGATACCGACGGTGAGCGCGTTAGGAAGCATCCCCTTTGCGGTCTCGATATCAATATCCTTGCAGGCCGCCGGCGAGGCAGGGTGGAAGCGGGGGTGATGCGAGGTCAACTCGCCACGGTAAGCTAGCCGCATAGTCAGATCCAATTTCCTCGCGAGACGGTCCCATACCATCCATACGACGAGCGACCTCGCGAGTCTTCTTGTAGCTCCAGCGGATAGGGGCAAAGTCGGCCTTGTTGTTCATGAAACCGCTGTCGAAACTCGGCTCGACGTAAGGGTTGGGGCTGGCGATGTGGATCTTGCCACGCGAAGCGGGGTACTCGAGGTATTGGAACATCGTCATGTATTTACCGGGAGGAAGCAGCGAGTGGTCCGCATAAGCTACCAGACAGTCAACGGTTGGCGCAAGAGTAATAGTCAAAAGCCTACCGGCGGAGACTATGGAGCCAAACATGACTGGTTTGTCGGGCTATCAACGTTCATTTGCTGCCTCGAACTACTCAATGGTAAGCTTACCTTGTCCTTGAAGTAGGTATCCCAAAGTGCGTTGAATTCGGGGCCCATTTCCTTCAGTTCTGCCTCGGTAGGGCGAATCTTGAACCCTGCATCAATAGCATTCGACGAAAGGCGCGCTTTCTTAACGGACGTTAATCGAGATTTATGGCAAGAAGATATGGAGCATTACCTCTGGAGAGACTTCCCACTCTTGGAACAGTTCTTTTTGAACCTCTTTGTCACCACGGAGGAAGTCGTCAAGAGTTGCGCTCTCGTTAGAAACACGGAAGACTACAATTCATCAGTTGTTTTCGACAGGAAGAATCATAATGCTTACTGGAAAGCGTGGTATAATGACTGATAGTTTCACCAGTTAGTCCGGATGACACGAAAAAAACCGTACTTACTCTTGGTATTGCTCACTGAAGAGCCATCAATCCATCATTGTTGAAAATCAGAATGAATGATGAACGCACCCGACGCCAGGAAGATCGCTGACCACCTTGATATCGAGCTTCTTTAATAGCTCAGCGCTACCGACACCAGAACGCTCCAATATTTGGGGAGTCCCGAGAGTTCCGCTACTCAAAACGACGCATTTACGGGCACGGACGATGGTTTCCATCACTTGGCCTTGATGCGCACGATTACGGGCAGGGACATAGGCGACGCCGACAGCCTTATTACCCTCGAAGATGACACGAGAAACACGCGAGTTGGTGCGGAGGAAGAGGTTGCTCTGGACGTCCATGACGCTGTGGACATAGGCTTGAAGACGTTGAATAGGCTTTTTGGTAGACAGTAACTCAACCCACCAGTCGCAGCATCGCTTCGGCGTCCAGTGTGTCGATTGATATATTTCGCCCAAATTTCAGAGGCATGCGAGGTGTCGAGGTCCTGGATGTCGTCTGGAAACAAACGTTATGAGCACAACTTGAAATCGCCGCCTGCGCATGCTTGGGATTAAACTTACCACTGAAGGGCACGCCAATAGCATCCGACGCGCGAAGGAAGTCCTGCGCTGAATTTGATCAGTCTATTGTGAGCATTGAAGAAAATGAGAAATAATTCACCAAGGGCAGTGATTGTTCCACCATTGGAGATCGCGATTGGTCCATCATAGCCATGGGTGTCATTATTGGTGGGCTTCTGGTAGTTCTCGAGCTAATTTCAGAGGCCGGTCAGCTGAGTAGTTGTTCGGATAGAGGCTACTCACGCGCTTCATCAACGGCAAGAGATCTGACCAGTAATTCGTAAGGCCTACGTCACAACTCTCAAACGTCGGTGGCGTACCTTTGGCAGTCCAGCCCGGTGTCTTGAAGTCATCTAGAAAGGATTGGAAGGAAATCCACTGCGATACGAATAAACTCGCCCCAGTCCGACGCCGAAGCCTAGAAGGCACGTCAGAAACTGCTTATTGCAGGATAAAAACACTCACCCGAGTATACATCTAGTCGAACAGTTTGCCCAAGTCAGAACACATACAAGGCCTATGAATCGGAATCGACCGACCTGGAAGTTGATACTGTTCGAGGGGGGGTAAGTCATAAATAATTTTGGGACGAGAGAACGTACCTGCTACCACCACCAAGGATGTTGGCACAGCTAGGATGGATGAGCTAAATTCGGAGCAAGAAACAAGAGTTAAGCTTTACGGGACGATACTCTTCCTGCCACGCATGAACTCGGAGTTCATGGTGTCGGTGTAGAATGTTGCCTTGTCGTTGCTGAGAACGAATTTAACGGATTGGGTGACACATAAACAAAAGGCATACATTCCATTCCGCTGCATGTTACGGACATAGATACCAGGACGATAGACCTGCGAAAGGGTGAGGTGATGTTAGAACTAGAAGTTGCAACAAGCTTACCCATGGGTCGTCTCTGTTATTTGCACCACCTAATTGCAGAGTTAGTAAAGCATATGAGCGCCAATGGCCAAGTGTTACCTTCAATCAACATGACCTTGAGGTTGGGATCGGAATAGGCCAATCGCCCAGCAACGACACATCCTAGAACGTGGTGAGTCCAGAAACAAATAGAGGTCCGCATGACGTACCTGCAGGCCCACCGCCTGCAACAATGACATCGACCTCCTGAGGATGGACCATAGTATGCAGATAAGTGTGTCGAATGATGAAGAGGAAACCTCTGGAGCCAACCCGCTTGCGAGGCTGGGCCTTATATGTGCGCAAATAATAGATGGGAATTGCTCAGGGGCGGCTGACCACCTCTTTCTCGTCAGATGATGGGTCCCATAGCGAATAGCTTCGCCGCGTTTCTTGGAAAGTGCTGGGTGGTGTTGGTGAGAGCGGAAAGCGCACAACAGCCGTATTACCCACGTTCTAGCACAATGCTTGTCTAGGTCGAACGTTAATGACTGGTAGCGTTCTCCCTTGTTCGAAAGACCCAATGGTGGCCTTGATGAAGAGAACCAGAATGACTCTTGGAAGCTCGACTGCTGTGAAAACAATATTCCGGCCAATGACAGGTATGTTTGGTATCATTGCTTAGTGATAGACACGAGAACCATGCCTTCTTCTATATTTGCATTGAATACGGCCTTCTGTTGTGGGGAAATGCGGGGTAATTGTCCCATTTGGTGAGTGTAAGTTGGAGTTTCGGGGACCTTCAATCCGAACCCTCGATAATTAGTGGCATGCCCAGCCTTTGAAGCACCCAAGAAAATGACGATTTGCCGATGCTCAGAACACAGGTGAGGGCATTTTAGCTCTGGCTCGCACGGAAGACAGCACGAAGTTGTTCACGGAGCACCACATTAGCTCTCATGACCCAATGGATCGCAACTATCTTTCTAGGACCAACTCGGCACCCCAAAAGGCGTGGTTAGGGAGGGCGGATGAAAGTATAAGCTGGTCCGTTTGGGTGGAAACTCGCACGACGAGTGGTCGGCCAGCCTCCCGAATATGGAGCTGTTTCAATTGAGAAACACCCAAATAACACACAATTGACGTACCGCGAGCAAGCTGAAGCTTAAAGAAGGTCGCCGGGGCACACACTTTGGAAGAGATAGCGAAACGGTCCCGCATTTTCAAGCTATTCCAAAACGAAAGACATGAATCCTTATTGAAATATGGTTGATTAAAGGGATGCAGTCTGGGCTGGGAGGTCAGCAGCTCAACATGGCCCAGATATTACGAGCCGTGCCTGACGTGTTGACTCAGCTGTATGGGGGGCGAGGAAGTGTGCGAGGGATTCTCACTGGCGCTCCCGACGCCTGTTTTTCTGGAATTCTCGATGAACAAGAGACAAGTGTGTTCAACTTGCGGTCAGACGAGGGATTGATGACATGTGTCACGGTGCGTCACGCCCCAGAACGAACGACCACAATTCGACGTCATGGACCAACGACCTTCGCCTTTCACGCCATGCAGAACCCCACCTCCGAAATCGGCGCCGTGGTGTCCCTATTAACCGCAGCCGCGGCACCAGACATTCAAAAAGCCGCTTTTCTGCGTTATATGACTTCAGATGCTGGGTTTCGCCATCCGCTTTGCAGTGTCTTGCCTGGCCCAGGATCGAGAGAAAGAGTATTGGGGATCTATCAGTGCGTTTGTGATTTCCCGTTCTGCTCTTTTTAAGTGACAATAGGTGGTATCGCATTATGTCGCCACGTATCGATATCACAGTCAACAATGTCGGTGCGCAACTCGTCCTGTTTTCTTTTCTCGCGACTGAAATGTCCCAGTGTACGACGAAACCAACCGTATACTGCTTTTAGATGTCGTGCAACTGTTCCATATTCGTTTTTCACCCTTCAAACCTGCTCCAGCTCGTTTGCTGGTCAGGCTGACTTTGCGTCAAGACCACGATGGACTATTCTACATCGCGCTTCAGGAGGACTTTTATCATCCAGACGTATGCTCCACACCGCTAATTGGGATCCTATCTGACTAGCAAAGGATTTTATGGCTCTTTTGGCCCCGCCGCTTTCGCCACTCGTACGACTGGGCTTATCGATGACTGGTCGAGCATCAGACATCTACGCTAAATGCGGTCGACTACTCGGGATCTGGACCTCTGAAACGGGTGTGGCGCACGGAGGGGGGCTATATGACGATGAAGACAAGAAAACGCAGTAATGGTATTTATTTCTTGACCCATATGAAATCCATTCCTTACAGCTGCTTTCAAAACGATGCCCATAGTCCAATTTTTTGAGTTTTGTGTTAGTTACCTTTGTATCGAAAGCATGGACTATGGGCATCGTTTGGAAAACAGCTGTGGTCTCCACTGATTCCTTCAACATGTAAATACGATCGCCGGCTTTTTACTCGACTGTTACTTCTGCTGCTCTGTCGCTATTTCGCCGCGGTTTTCAGCACAAGCTCCGCTGTGTTCATTAAGCGCCCAAGCGTCTCCAAGTGTCACCACCACAAATAACGCTGTCACACGAAGGCTCTTGGACACACACTCCAACAAAGACCGTCATCATGAGCCAACAACGAGGAAGAGGACGTGGACAAGGACCTCCGCAGGGACAAAGGGGAGGTTATCCCCAGGGTGGCCCTGGCCCCAGAGGCCGTGGTCAAGATTTTGCAGGCCGCGGTGCCCCACGTGGACGAGGCGATGGTGGGTATAGAGGCGGCCCACCTGGTGATAGAGGCAACTTTCCTCGTGGTGGGGGAGGAGGAGGATTTCGTGGTGGTGGGAGAGGTCGAGGCGACTCCGGCCCGCTCATCTTTCGAGAAGGGATTCCAGCCACTCTGCCGCCGCGCCTATCCGACAACAACCACAATGCGCTCATGCAGTCCTTTTCGAGGGCAAAGTTCAATCCAGACAGGCCCCTCCGCCCAGGATATGGGACTCGAGGAACCCCAATCACACTTCGAGCCAACTTTTTCCCTGTCCGCCTATCAATTGGCGTTTTCTATGACTATTCGATGGAAATCACTCCAAAGACCGAAATTCGTCGTCTCAAAGACAGAATCTTCACTTTATTGGAGCAGAGCCCTCAAGTGAAGCCCATGTTGAGTCATATTGCCCATGACCGCAGCATAAGGCTGGTCTCGGCAAGAAAGCTCCCACAACCATTAACGATCCGAGTGCCGTTTTATGAAGACGGAGAGAACGGGCCCAAAGCTGGGGGAACGGTGTACACTGTCGAAATCAAATTCGACAAGGAGCTCAACATTGAGGAATTGAAAAAGTGAGTGTAATCCTCAGAACTCGTTTATTTCTTGTTCACCAATCCTCCAAGGTACCTCAACGCTGATATAAACTCTCGGGACTATAATGCTGCCCCGTTGCTTTCTGCTCTCAACTTGGTTCTCCAGCAATTCCCTGCTCGCAAGGGCATTCGTGTCGCTAGCAACAAGTATTTCTTCCCGACATCTACGCAGCCCCACCATCTCGGACTTGGTCTTATCGCCTTCCAAGGTTACTACACGTCGGTTCGTCCAACCTACAAAGAGCTCATGGTCAACGTGTAAGTGCTGCGCGTCAGGTATGGTTGTCTGTCTGACTGAAGTAGGAACAATTGCATGACTGCCTTCATTGAGCCCGGCAATCTCGCCGATCGACTGTTTCAATTCAATACAATGAGCCAAGGCGCGATGCCGAATCTCCCCAAGGTTTGACTCGACATACCTAGCTCCATTTTTGTTCACAAGTGTCCCTCATAGGCATATGCAAAGAGCATCAAGGTCACAACAAGACATCTTGGCTATAAGATGCGGAAGCCACTCAAAACGATCTGTGGGACGTCGGCTCGTAACACTTTCTTCAACTGTGAGGAATTAGGCGGAAGAATCTCTGTCGAACAATATTTTGCCAGGAGTACGACTATGCTCGTTGCTCACCATTCCCTCGACTGACGTTAGAACAGAGTACAAAATCCAGATCAGGTATCCGACCGAGCTGCCCGTCGTCGATATTGGTGGTCCGCAGAAGCACAATTATCTTCCTGCAGAGCTTTGCGAGATCGAGCCTGGAAACCCTTACCGTGGACTGCTCGGCCCAAAGGAGACCGCCGAAATGATTCGTGTTGCCTGCAACCCGCCGCGATTCAACGCCGACGCTATCACCGGTGAAGGCTTCAAGCTTCTAGGGATTGACCCCCTCCAGTCACCCGCGAACGGCTTTGGCGTCACTATTGACACGGAAATGGCCGTCGTCCCGGGGCGCCAGCTCGCTGCTCCCGGTCTATCATATGCCCGCAAGTCAATTCGGGCAAATGCGGGGAGTTGGAATATCATGGATGTGACTTTCCACCGTGGTGCCGCGGTGAAAAGCTATTGGGTCCTTGTTGTCCGTGATGGGCGAGAGATTGTTTCGCGAGGAGATGACCCCGAGCTCAAGGCGCTCATCCAGAATTTCCAGGCCAAATTGCAACGCTGTGGAATGAAGACGCCGTCGGGGGTGCCAAGGCTGATACCGACTCCACAATTGCAACGAATGCAGGATGCCGGTCGGGAGGAGGCTTTGAGAGCAATTAAAAAGTGCATCACCGATACGCTGGCGGCTGAGCAAGGGAAGAAACCCGATTTCATTCTTGTTCTGTTGTCGCACCATGACAACTTCATCTACCCTGGAATCAAGGTTTGTCTTTTGCATCTTCTGATTATTTGGGCTGAGACGTCTTCAGCGAATCGGTGATGTCGAGCTTGGAATCCATACTGTTCATATGCAGCTCGCCAAAGCAATGAACGAGCCACGGAAACAAGACCAATATCTCTCGAACGTTGCGTTGAAAGTCAACTCAAAACTTGGGGGCATTAACCACCGTGTTCGTCGCTGTTCGCATTGGTTGCACCACTGATATTTTCCTCAGCTTGATCCTGCGGCCACCGGCTGGCTCACGAAACAGAAAACTATGATGGTGGGTATTGATGTCACGCATCCCAGTCCTACAAGTCGGGAGGGGGCGCCGTCCATTGCCGCTGTCGTGGCCAGCGTTGACGACGATTTCGTCCAGGTAAGGGCTTGACCGCGAACCGACGAATTCACTCACCAGTCACAGTTCCCTGCCAGTCTGCGACTGCAAAAGCCCGAGCAGAACCGCCAGTCGAAGGAGATGCTGACGGAGCTGCGCGACATGCTCGTCGAGCGTTTGCTTGTGTATGAAAAGAAGAACGGCACGCTCCCCCAGCGCATTATGGTCTTCCGTGATGGCGTTTCCGGTGAGGCATCGTCATGTTGTTGGGACCGTTCTGACGTCGTATGAAGAGGGCCAATTCGATACGGTCATCCGGGAAGAGAAGAGCCAGATTCTAGAGGCCTTCGGGAAACTGAGCACCGCAGCACGCGGCTCGAGACCGTATCGCCCCCAGTTTGCCATCATCATTTGCGGAAAGCGCCATCATGCGAGATTCTACCCAACGGACTCTCAGTATGCCGCCAAGAACGGGAATACGCTTCCTGGTACTGTTGTGGACAAAGGAGTTACCGCGGTGTACGTGGATTGTGTTGACGTTATCTCACGCTTACTGCGCAAAGCTTTGATTTCGACTTTTACCTCCAAGCACATGCAGGTCTTCAAGGAACTGTGCGCCTTTCTTGTTATCTGGCATGGGTTTTGATCATGGAAGCAGGTTCGGCCAACGCACTACACGGTCGTTTATGACGAGCTCAAGTTGACTGCGGACGAGCTCCAACAGGTGCCATTACTTGGTTTGATTATGTGTTAGCTAACAAAGTCAGGGCTCGAACGACTTCTCTTACCTTTATGCTCGGGCCACGAAAGCCGTCAGCTTGATCCCTGCAGCCTACTATGCGGACCTTGCCTGCGAGCGAGCGCGGTACTACCTGAACGACGTTATGGACGATCGCACGACTGTCTCTGGCCGAGGCGGAAATCGCGACCAGGAACGGGAGCGTGTGTTTGACCAAGCTCGTTTGTCTTGGGGCAGCGGGGTGAGTGTTGGCTTCTTCTACATAGGCACATATGGCTTAACGCTTTTTTCGGTAGATCCACGAGGACTTGCGCGAGTCGATGTTTTATATCTGATCTTGTTTTGGCGTCTTTGCTGTGCTTGCTGTCATGCTTTGATTGCTATGTCTGCCTTTTGTATACTGACCACGAATCAAGTTGCTTTTCATGTTCATTGCCAATTAGATGTCTATGTTATGTGAGATTTTTTTCCCTCTGAATCACATTTATATACTGTGGATGGACAAGTATGCTAGTGCTAAGACCAGGGGTTGTTTATCACTTACTGCCTTGTGGGGTTTTTGTGTGGATTTGTGGTTGGTTGAAGCAAGGTAGCAGGTAGCATGAAACTTACTTACTATTCTGTCTCAGCCTTGGCTTGTATGTCAACAATCTGCAGTGTGACCCCAGGATGAAGATGCCTTCTTAAATGCACTTGTGCACTGTCTCTGCACCCTCCAAAGCCAGCATCATTGTGAATGGCTGGCACCCTGTTGTCAGACTCTCACTCTCCTCCTGTTCCTTTGATACTAGCAAACAGATGTCCCTCAATCCTGAATGTGGCCCAACTGGTTACTGGTCTTAAGTGCCTCATTGCCAAGGTTTACCACTGACAAGCTTTCTCACTGGTGTGAAGAAGGACAAGAAAAGCAAGAGGCCTTCAAACTGCTCTAACTGCAAGCTGTCAGGCTTTGGGTTGGGCCGTTTAAGGCTTCTTCTAAGAACACGCACCCAAAACAGAATAGACAGATTGTCAGGCCTGCAAGCAGAGCACGCGGGGGTAGAATCGAACCAAAAGGTCCGGTTAACATGGTCCCTTGTTGTGGTTGGTTGCCACTGGCAAAGGTTCGAATCAGGTTGTTTCAGGCCTGATGAGTCGGTGGTACCTCCTCGCATAGAGAGAAGTGGTACTTTATGTTAAAGTATGGCATGGCTGGCTGTCAGGGGAACCCAAAGCTTCGGACCCCCCGAACGCATCCGAGGCACATCCGACCGGCGCCCCCTCGGACGCTCCGACCCACCCCGACCATCGTCCACGGCCTCCTTCGCCCGCACAATCACCGATCCGTCAAGACCCTCCCAACGATCACCTTGGGACAGAGCCTGCGACGCCGCTCAGGCCTTCTGCGCTCTACGTCGGCAGTTACGGACGACCAGTATATAGTTGGCGCCCTAGCAGGCGGACCCTTAGAGTTTCTTCTCTTTGGATCCTCCCCTGCTAGGTCGGTCCCTCCGTGTATTCCCGTAGCTTTTATTCACGCTTTGGATCCTCCCCTGCTAGGCTTTCGTCGGAGTCTCCAGGGTTGCCCTTACAGCAGAAGAAACTCTCTACGGGATTAACCGGTCAAGATTGCCAGGTTTGGCGCTGATTCAGGCTTGGAGTACGAGTCCGTACCCCCCTCGTCACTGCCCCTGCCACTTGACCCCTCCTCCTCTGCTCTTGTCGTCCTTACGCCCGCTATGTCTACCGGAGCTGCTCCGGACGCTGACGCGCATGGACGCCACTTGAGGCGAAACTAGACAACCTCACCAATATCCTCACCCACCTTGCTTCCCAGGCTTCCGCTGCTGCACCACCTTCGGCAGCTCCTGAACCGCCTTCGGCATCTCCGAATGCCCCCGACGCGGATGCGTTATTTGGTGACATTACTGTCGCCTCAAAACTGGTCTTACGGCCAAACCCCCCGTTTGCGTTTAACGGAGATTGCAAACGTGGCCGCGCCTTCCTATACGCGGTTAAGACTTACGCCCGGCTTGCCCCGGAGGCCTTCGTGGTCAACGGAGAGCCGAGCGAAGAAAAGGCCGTCCGCTACGCCATGTCCTATATGGCGGAGGGACCTGCCCAGCAGTGGGCAGAGCGTCATGGAAGCAAAACCCCGTTCCCCTTCCCTCGGTGGAACCTATTCCTCTCCGAGTTTCGCGTTCGGTTCGTTGAGGAGAACGAGCAAGACCTCGCGCTCGCCAAGTTGGAAAGCGCGGGTTATCACATGGGAACGCGGGACGTCTACAGATACACCGACGACTTCGAGGACCTAATGGACCTCGCCGGATTCAAGACGCGTTGGTTAAGGTGACCAAGTACCGCCATGGACTTGACCCCCTGATCAACAATGGCATCACGTCCTCGAACGACCCCCCAGACCTCCGTGACTATCTGGGCTGGCGCACTCGGGCTTTCCGCCAATCTGAAGCCTTGGTACGGGCGAAGCTCATCAAAGGGACCACCCCGGGACGCCGGGGCTCCGTGGCGCATTCCCTATCGCCCGTTCGGCAACTCCGTTCCCCATCCGCCCGGTGGCCGCACCTGCGCCACCCGCGGCCCGCGCCCCCGTCTCGGTACCTCCGGCTCCCGTCCCTATGGAGTTGGATCGTACTAGGGCTCGGGGCGCCCCTCGTCGAGCCTGCTTCAGATGTGGCGACCCCAACCACTTGGCTCGGGATTGTCCGCTCCCCGCTGATGTTCGCCATGTGGACATCCTTGACGAGGTGATCCAGCAACTTGGCGACGAGATGCTGGGAGAGCTGCTTGCGCGGTCCGATACCGCGGCCTTAGCAGAGGCGCATTCGGAGGCTCCGGCAAAGGATTTTGTCCCCGCGACGAGTGACTGGTGTGCCCTCGTTCGCGTCCATAAATCGTTTCACTTGTTTGTATGATGAATCAACTCCCTTGCCCTACAACGAGCCTGAAACGAAAGACGCACCCCCTGCCCCCTCCGAAGCCCCCGTTCGGATTCGCCGACTTGCCTGGGAGAAAAAGTTACCTGGCAGCTATACCATCTCTGCTGCTCCTGGGGTTAACTCACTCCACCTTCCTCTTGAGCTTGAGTCTACTGCGAACGTGCTCAAGCTCTCCCTCTCAGGTCTGGTCGACTGCGGAGCCACTTCGGACTTTATCGACACAGAATACGTCAACCGGAACAACGTGCCAGTCCGAAATCTCTCAGTACCCATACCGGTCTACAATGTCGACGGTACTCCCAATGATGCTGGGTCTATTCGCCAAATCGCGGACCTCGTTCTACGGTACAACAGACACTCCGAACGCGTTCAGCTGGCTGTAACCCTCCTTGGGAAACAGGACTTGATACTCGGATACTCCTGGCTCAAGAAACACAACCCCGAGATCAACTGGGAAACGAAAGAGGTGAAAATGAGTCGATGCCCCCGAAGCTGCTCCACTTGCCGCGACGAGGAACGGACTGAGCGCGCTGAGGTTCGGCGCCTCCGACTCCTCAAATCGCGTTTGCTCTCGGGCGCCTTCCCCACCGTTTGCGCTATCGATATTGCCGGTCCAGACGATGCTGACGACGAACTCGGAGCTACTTCGGACCCTCCGAGTCCCTCGCCAGACCTCGACGACAACGAGCATCTTGAAGACGGCGACCGCATCTTCTACACCTCCTTTCGCCCAATCGAGGAGATTCGCACTGGGAGCACCGTGTCCCAACGCCTTGCAGAGGCCTTCGCCCGTAACTCGGCCCCCCCCGCCTTCGGAAATTCCGGACTGGGCCAAGGAGTTCCAAGACGTCTTTGACAAGGAGTCCTTCGACACGTTACCAGAGCGGAGGGCTTGGGACCACGCTATCGAACTCGTTCCCGACGCGAAGCCCGCTAATTGCAAGGTGTATCCGATCTCCCCCCTTGAACAGCGCGAACTTGACGAGTTCATCGAGGAGGGACTTGCTACCGGCCGTATCCGCCCTTCGAAATCTCCGATGGCTTCCCCCGTCTTCTTCGTTAAGAAAAAGGACGGAGGACTTCGGTTTGTCCAGGACTACCGCGCCCTCAACGCAATGACGATTAAGAACTGGTACCCCCTCCCGTTGATTAATGACCTTATCAACAGGCTCAAGGGTGCCCGTTATTTCACTAAACTCGATGTTCGTTGGGGCTTCAATAACGTCCGGATTAAAGAAGGAGACGAGTGGAAGGCAGCCTTTCGGACTAACCGAGGGTTGTTCGAACCTTTGGTGATGTATTTTGGCCTGACAAACTCCCCCGCGACTTTCCAGACGATGATGAATGACATTTTCCAGGATCTCATTCTTTCAGGAGACGTTATGATCTACCTCGACGATATCCTTATCGCACATTCGGACCTCCGTAAGCACCGCGAGATCGTCCGCGAAGTCCTTCGGAGACTCCGAATGCACAAGCTGTACCTTCGCAAGGAGAAGTGCGACTTCGAGAAATCGTCGATCGAGTACCTGGGGGTTATCATCTCTCACAACCACATCGAAATGGATCCCGTTAAGGTCGCCAGAGTCTTCGCATGGCCTCCGCCCGAAAACAAGAAGGACGTCCAGCAGTTTCTGGGGTTTGCTAATTTCTACCGCAGGTTCATTCGGGATTTCTCGGCCCTCGCGCAGCCTCTCTTTGCGCTCACCAAGAAAGACCAGAAATGGGCCTGGGGAGACGCCGAAGCCGCCGCCTTTCAAGCTATCAAAGACGCGGTCGTCTCAGAGCTCGTCTTAGCGATCCCGGACGACTCCCGGCCTTTCCGACTTGAAGCAGACAGCTCAGATTATGCGATGGGGGCGGTTCTTTCACAACAATCCGCCCCGGACGGGAAGTGGCACCCTGTAGCGTTCTATTCCAAAAGCTTAAATGATGTCCAGCGCAACTACGAGATTCACGACAAGGAGATGCTCGCGATCATCCGCGCACTCGAGGAGTATCGGCATTTCCTCGAGGGCGCCGCACATCCGGTCGAGATCTGGACTGACCATAAGAATTTGGAGTATTTCTGAAAGGCACAGCACCTTAACCGTCGGCAAGCCCGATGGTCGTTGTACCTTTCTAGGTTTGACTTCACGCTGCACCACGTCCCAGGTCGCCAGATGGGCCGCCCCGACGCTCTCTCCCGCCGGCCTGACCACGGCATCTCCAAAGACAACTCGGACGTCACCCTCTTGCGCCCTGAGCTCTTCCACGTTCGTGCGCTTGAGGCTGTCACTGTCTCTGGGCCTGGGTCCGAACTTGTCCGCGACATCAAGGAAGCGCTATCCGGTGAGCCTGACCTAGAGGAGCCCGTCGCGCTTGCGGCCCGGCAACTCTTGAAGGTCTGAGGTCAAGTT